CCCCCCCCCCCCCCCCCCCCCCCACACACACGTTCGCTCAAGAGTCTTCGGCATCTTCACCTTCTAAACTCTCTTTCCTCACGCCAACTAATGTGTCATAACATGGTAGAGTCTAAGCTATTGCAAAATGATTGCCCCAACCGGAGTATATGTTTTACACTGGGTGACATAATTCCCCCCCCCCCCCGGACACTAGAAAATTTATTCCTTATTTGAAATAGTATAAAAGAAATGATTGAATTCAGATATACTCCAAAATTTTAGATTTTTAATGTTTTCTATTTCTTAGTGTTTCTCCTTTTGCCAGGCTCTTAGCCGAACCGTTCTCTTTTATTGTCCTGTCTTTATATTCCAAGAATCTATTGTTTCCTTCATACATTTTTGAGCGCAGTTTTTCATTTATTATCCAAAATGCACCTCTTTATTTTTAAATAATCAATCATTTTCTTTGGAGGGGCTCTTCAGCCCTCTTCTCCTCAAGAGCCATCAGCCCCAGCAATTTCCACCTCATTTCGGGAAAAAATGACAATATAGCTGGCCCTGATCGCCAATTTTAGTGCTGTGAGATACACTACCTAGAGGCGCAGCAACTGTTTTGCCATGCTGGGAGGTCACGAAACAAACGCTCGTTCGAAAATGCCGCCCAACCATATAAAAAAAAGTGATACATGGATGTAGTACCCCATCCGCTTCCTTTCTACGTCACTGACAGAGGCTTAGCCACAGTGTTTGGTACCATTGGTACAAGATTCCAGCCCCATTCCACCCCTACCCCCAAACCCATTATTTTCCTCCATTAAATACCATCAAAAGCCAATTTTGGCACCCTTCTATTCTAGCGCCCGAGGAAACTGTCCCACTCTTCCTCATTAGCTAGGTCTCTGGATACTTGCACTGCTCAACCGAAAATCTAGAGAAACTTCACATTGTGTACCATACACTGCGGCACTTGCTATCACCTTTGTCAAATGTTGCAGAATGCTGTTACCAGCTGTTGGATCTGTTTCGATACTCTCTGGATCCGCCACACCAAAATTTGAACAACGTTGAATTAAAAACTAGAAAGCTCTGAAAAAAATTATTTTCCTCCTTCTTAATAACAAAAGTCATATATCTTTAAACGAACTCATTTGAACACTCAATTAGTTCAATTATTTGAAACCTTGAAAAAATAGTTTGATTTACTAACACATTTTATAAATAATAATAATTATAATAATAATAATCAATTCAATCTGAAATGTTTGAAATTAGATTTTCATTTATTTGCAAATTCTGATACAGAGAATGCTTATTTCCCTACAACAGTGTAGTTAAATGATATCATGTAAAATAACGTGTCCTCAGCCAATACCAGTAACTCGGTACTTCCGTCGACAGCCTTAGTACAAGCTGGGTGACCTGAAGAAATGAAAGGAAAAAAAAATGTGTGTTGTTAGTTTATCGTGTTTTATTTTTTTAAGTTTGCAACGGTAAAGATTCTTGTGCCAACACCACGAATCCAATTGAGCAAATTAAAACTAACAGCTATTAAAATCAAAATAACCCATACAAAATAATGTGGGAAAAAACTAAATGTCAAGATTAATTAAGATTAATATTAAAAATTTCTTTGAAGGTTACATTTTTGGGGGGAGAAATTTTCTTTTTCCCCCCCCCGGCTACAATATATTATATATATTGGGCCAAAGAATGGTCACTGAAGTGTTATTTTATTTGTTCATATTAGCTCGTCGATTTCACTTTGTGACAAAGACTTTCTTTTATTTGACGAGTGGGGTGGGGGAATACAATATGGGGCGGGGGTGATTAAATAGGGCAGGGGTAAAGAGTACACAACCTTCTATCGGTAAGATGGTCCGTTCTATGAGCTCCATCAGCATTTAAAAGTATTAGAAAAGTAATAGTCTATAAAAATTTAATTTTATCTTTATTTTCAAGTCCTGACGATTATATTGTTTGTAAACTTACCTAATGTCTTTGGGGGTGGGGGGGAGGTGGGTGGGAGTGACAGATAAGTCTTAGGTTCCAAATTTTTTGTACTGCATTGCCCAACAGCTGGGTTATGAAGCAAAGGCCTTTAGGTACAACTGAGCTTATCACTCTCCTCCTATCCCTTCTATAAAATAAATTCGCCAAACAGCATTTGAATGAGCTAAATTCGGGTAGAGTTAAACTATCGACTAGCCATGAATCCAAGCTGAACCTTTTGTTCGCCCAAATGGCGTCATATTAGTTCACGCTGCTGACTTGGTAACGTTTTCTTCTTCAAGATTGGAATTTTTTTTTTTTTTTGTTGGTATGTGTGCATGGGACGTTGTTTATATTCGGCACACTTTACACCACAATCACTCAAACCAACACCCAAAAGCACTCACCTGCAGTTGGCATGTTCAGTGTGTTGTTGACTCCGCCAGTCAACTCTCTAACCCCCTTTATCCAAGTGGCCCACCCTTCTACAACACACAGCGAGTAAGTGACTCTGAGTTTGGAGAGTTTTACATGGAGGTAGCCCTAAAAAGAAAGTCTGACGCTATTGACGTACCAATAAGTATGTCATTTGTGTTTAAGAAAGTTAGACTTTACAATGAAAAAGATTAACTTTTTAAGGGATCAATTAATGAGCATAGGTTTTAAAGAATTACAAATTACTTTGTAAACCGAAAACATGTTTGTCTGTAAAAAAAAAAATGAGTTGTTTTAGAAAACTCTAATTTTACAGTAAACATAAAGGAATGTGAATTGAAACAACTGGATGACAAGGTTAAAATACAAGCAAAAGCATTACGTCATTGCTGTGAAATATAAAAGAAATGTAATGATTAATAGTGACCCAAGGTTTTCACGAAATGAAATGTTGCAATTCGTCAGCTACTTGATATAACATGAACATTTAAATAAAATTTGTATTGTTACTAATAGTCATTTTCCGAAAGGTAGGGTGTGTAGTCCTATGTGTATGTTAGTGTGTTAATCTGTGTATGTGTGTCAGAGTGTTAATATGTGTATGTGTGTGTGTGTGTTAGTGTGTAAATGTGTAGGTTTTCGGTGTTTATGTGAAAATATTCACGTGCGATGCTGTAATGGGCTTTGTTTTGTAAACGCATAGGACGGACTTGACTTCTCATCCAGTCTTTGTTATATTTGACTGAATAGCTAAGGTCTCAATATATCTTGGGCTTGACACTGAATGACACGCATGAGACCCATCAGGTTGACACTGAATGACACGCATGCGACCCATCAGGTTGACACTAAATGACACGCATGAGACCCATCAGGTTGACACTGAATGACACGCATGAGACCCATCAGGTTGACACCGAATGACACGCATGCGACCCATCAGGTTGACACCGAATGACACCCATGAGACCCATCAGGTTGACACTGAATGACACGCATGAGACCCATCAGGTTGACACCGAATGACACGCATGCGACCCATCAGGTTGACACCGAATGACACCCATGAGACCCATCAGGTTGACACCGAATGACACGCATGAGACCCATCAGGTTGACACCGAATGACACCCATGAGACCCATCAGGTTGACACCGAATGACACCCATGAGACCCATCAGGTTGACACCGAATGACACGCATGAGACCCATCAGGTTGACACCGAATGACACCCATGAGACCCATCAGGTTGACACCGAATGACACCCATGAGACCCATCAGGTTGACACCGAATGACACCCATGAGACCCATCAGGTTGACACCGAATGACACGCATGAGACCCATCAGGTTGACACCGAATGACACGCATGAGACCCATCAGGTTGACACCGAATGACACCCATGAGACCCATCAGCGTATTTGGTTGAAGCAACAATTTAAAGCTCTGTTTTAAATTCAAAATGAGAAGCAAAGAAATATTTATTTTTAAAACTAACGTTTTTTTTTTTTAAAAATGATTTGATTTACTAATTTACTATGGGGTTTTAATATGTTAAATTAAAAAAATTAGACTGTTAAAATAATAACTGTTTTAAAGGGTGCAATCTTACCCTGGGGTAATTCCAGTCAATCTCACCAGACGTACAATTTTTGGGGATGTTCACCTCATAGACTTCTTCCGGTCCCGAAAGACGGCTTAAAAGGTGAAGTAGTTGTTAGTTTCTCGGTAAGATTTCAATTTTACATAATGATAATTAAAGATGGTTCTATTTAATTCAAAGCTAACAGGAGAATTGAGTTGTCATGTTTAAGTAAACACGTGCATGAGTAATGAGGTATTGCTTTTGCGGAGTACAAATGCATATTATATATTATCATATTTTTGTTTTCACAAAGTGCACACTAGTGCACAGTTAGTGTCGTATTTGGCTTTGGCCTACTTAAAAATGTCCTAATTTCTGCTATACAGACGAAAATTGTGTGACCGGGTATGTAGATTATCTCAACTGATCCTCACCTACACGTCAAATGCCTCTGCATCCGTAGGAGCCAGAATGATCAGTACATTGATCGTGGGCCCTTAATGTAAAGAAGAAGAAACAGGCACAGCAACAACAACAAATAAAACTGAAAAACAAACAAAAACAAACAAAACGCGACACACAATGAGGTTGAAATGACACAGACTTTATTTTTATCCTTTTTTTTAAAAGTCCACTGACCTGATTGCACTGGTGCTGCATGGGTCACCAAAGGGAATAGACATCAGCAGACCAACTTGGAGGAAGCAAGAGATGGCACACATTACAAACTTCATTTTTATTTTACTTGGTCAACCACCGCTTTAGCGAAATAAGTCAATGACGAGACAACAAAGGTGCTTGCCGTGAATCAAGCTGTAAACGAATATCTGAAGTTCTGCCACGATAGAGATAGGAGAAAACAGCAGTTACTGACCTGGGAATTCCACAATGTTTCCACAAACATTTCAATACAGGGATTCTAAAGATTTTGTACCGATAGATATGGAACACACATTTAAAAGTAAAAAGGCTCTACATTATGGCATTTACCAGGGATCATTGCAATGATACGTTTATATTCTTTAACAATAATCATATTTATTATTTTAAAATACTGATTAAAAGATTTTACACTAATAGCTTATTGTAATGGCTTAGGAAGAGAGAGGGGGGCAAGAATGGTCAACCCCGGGCAGATTTTTTGTATTTTGGGGTCATTTTCAGCCCACAGCAGTCTTTTTTCGTAGAAGGGGTGCAGCAAAAATATTGAGCTGCCCTGGGCGACATTAACCCTTGTTACACCGTTTCTTTTTTTGGTGCCGCAACACGATCCTCCATGTTCACTAGCCAGCTTGGCAGAACTATTGAAAGTTGTGGTATATCCCGAAAATTATTTGCGGATGACACAGAACTGTGCAATTTGCTTCCTCCCTGAAGTTTTGCACTGTGCTGCTACTGTGCAAGCTGTCGGGGACTGCTGTCTCGTGGTTAAATCATGGATGGCATCAAACAGACTTAAATTAAATGACGATGAGACAGATGCAACTATATATGGTTCTGATGTCAATATTCGGAAGGTTGCTGTCGCATCGATCAAAGTTGGTGTTTCTGAGCTCAGCATGTACAACACTGTTAGAGATCTTGGCTTTTACACTGACAGTAAACTTACTAATGATCCATCATATTTGTTCTGTTGTCAAGGCTTGTTTCTGTCATCTTCTCGCTCTGGGTCAGCTGCGTTCTCAACTTATTAAGAGAACAACCAATGCCGTAGCAGTGACTCTATTCAAATCCAGATTAGATAAATTTAAAATTTGTTTGTGGGGTTTACCTCAAAACCAAATTCAGAGATTCTACAAGGTAAAAAATACCGGAGCACGTAATGTATCGTGTAAAGAAATCTGACCACATCAACCCAGTTCTTAAAGATCTCCACTGGCTTCCGGTGAGTGAGCGCATTGACCACAAAATTATGTCTCAAGCGTACAGCTGTATAGAAGGCTCTGCACCTGTATATCTTTAAAAAAAAATGATATTAAAACATGTGTCTATACAGAAACTGCGCTCTTCAACACAGTCCTTACTGAGAGTTCCCAGTGTGGATGGACACAGAAAGAAGTCATATGGAGTGCTCTCTTCAACACAGTCTTTACTGAGAGTTCCCATTGTAAATGGACCCAGAAAGAAGTCTTATGGAATGCGCTCTTTTGAAGATATTACGACTAAATTGTGGAACAGTTTGCGTCAATCGTTGTGGGAAATTGAAAATGATAAAAAAGTAATTTAAGAATTAATTAAATAATTTTTTTTCTTTAAATAGTTTATAGGACATCAGAGCGCTGTGAGCATGCTAAAATAGCAAGGGCACTAGGGCTATATAAGTACCCAATCATCATCATTATATAATTTGATAGATTTATTTAAGAGCAAATAAATTTTTTTTTTTAAAAGCGTTTAAATTAACATTTCAAATTGCCGAAATCTTCAAAATAAATTCTTTTTTTATTTTGTTATTGTTAAATTTTAGAGTAAATACTCTTATTTCCTGTAAGCTTAGTTTTGAAAAAAAAAAAAACAACTTCCAGCAATAACATTAATGGCGACCACTTAAGTTTTTTAACTACCTTTTATTTATTTATATTTTTTTCATTTGTCCTGTCTGCTGAGGAAGGCTCTTAGCCAAAATGCTCTTCTTTTAGTGTCCTGTCGTTCTATTTCAACTTCCACATACCCTGTTCTTATAGTTTTATCAAATTCGCAACGTTACACCCCTGTACATTAAAGCTCTATTGACAGAAAAGCAGACATTTGTAATTAGATTATATAGTTTTAATTCTCTCAACCCAATCCATTTCTTACTTCCATTCGCAGCACTCTCTCTTTTCATTTGTTTACCATCAAACCGCTGTGTATTTCAACACATTTTTTTTGTAATGACACAAACGTTTATTCACGAATAAAAATGTAAAAAAACAACAACAAATAATTCATACTTTATTTGAAAAATAAGGACTCGTATCTATGATGATAGTTAATTCGTAGTTTATCGGAACTTTTAAAAAATTTAACACGCCCATGTAGAGTCCTGCCACCTCTCTTCCTTCCCCATGGCTGAACACCAGAAGACATTGGCTCCTCGATGACTCGGCGAGCTAGCTACCTAGGCCAGGACGACCTTGTAGTAAAAGGTGGTCCAGTAGAGTTGAGAGTGCCAGGCCTGGACGAGCAGCTCGGTCTTGCCGCGGGCGCTCTCTGTGCACGCTGGGTGGTCTGTGGGGAACGCAGAGGGAATGATACACACAGTGATGCGGGCGTAGAAACGAGGAGTAGGTGAAACAGAACACAGATACACATGCACAGACTGATGAGTGGAGGGACATATAGACAGATGGATAGACAGACTGACAGATAGATGACGGAGAAAATAACGGATTCAAAGACGATGTATTAAAATTGGATTTAAAAAAAAAATCTATGTATTGCTCTTTTTATAGAGACGAACATAAAAAGGAAGTAAACATTTTAGAAATGAGCAGATTTAAAATAAATGTTTCACCATTGGAAGACTTTATGAAAGAGCATACACTCTAAACGTTTTCTAGAACATATTTAACAAGCTTGTCTTTTAAAAATAAATTTTACTCATTGCTAGGAATGGTCTAATGATTTGAATGCTAAAATAGGTTAGGACAATAAGATTAGGATGTTTCGGCATAGAGCCTTCCTCACCACACAGGACAAATGAAAATATCACCTCGACTTGCTATTTCATTTACTTAGTTTGAAGCCAGTCCTTTAATTATTACAAAATAGGTTAAATGCCGTTAAGTGTGTAATGAACTCACCTTTGGTTGGGAGTTCAAGAGACCTGTTGGCCCCACCAGTCAGATCACGAATACCCCCGAGCATGGGAATACCTTCATATCTTGCCTCTATGCACAGAGAGTGCGCCACTGGCAGTGTCGCCATCAGATGGACAGAGCCCTGAAACAACATTACAGAATGAAGCCCTTTCTATTTTTTTTTAAAATCAAAAAGTCGAGAACAAATTTTCTTTACCTAAATAAAATCGCAATATTAAACTATGTTTTAAAAGCGGAAATACACAATTCACTGAACGTCTTAGTGTAATGAAACTGTTAAGCTGTTGGCCTCGAGAGCATTTATTTATAAAGTTGTTTTCCATTCCACTTTTAAAGCCAGTTCTTGTAAAAGCGCTGATTAATTAAACGTCTTAACTGAAGTCAAAATGACGATTCATTAATTTATGTTTTGTTTCGTGCTGAGTCGTTTACATTGGATGCTTAACATTTTCATATTATGTTTTTTTTAAAAACGTAAAATTAATTGATTGTTGCTCATACCAAGATTCACGGGCGTTTAGCTGCTGGCATGGAATATTTGATGTTTTTGTTTCACTCTTCATTCGAATATAATTATATTTCGTCTCCTCTTTATTTTTCCGCTCGTATTGTTAAACTTTATGTAGGCTTTGTTATATATGTAGCCTAGTACAACGTAACGCTTGACTAATATTTAAACTTGAACACAGAGCTATTTATAGTCATTACAACTTCTCTGCTAGTAATGGCCTTAAAATCGACGTCACAGTGTAATTGTGCTGCTCGCCCAGTCCTGGCTGGGAAGAAAGTAGTGAACATTGGAATGCGTGCCATATGTTCTAAAAAATTCACAATTTGCGACGCAATTTCTAGATTTCCTGTACTAGAGCGTTCCGATTTAATTCCTATATAAAGCTCACCAGGTTTCTTAGCAGATAGACTTTCTGGGGCTTAGCCTTACCGAGACTTACTAATAAATAGACCTAGCGAGGCTAATAGATTGATACATTTTTTGCTTCTACACTCACGTTTGTATATATGTAGAAATTTATTTATGTAATTAAATTACAGTTAAGTATCACTACCTCTGGTATTGTTTTTATTTGCATACTGTAAGATCAGTATTTTGTTACGTATTGTTTTTTATACGAGCCAACTATTAATACAGATTTAACCTTTATAACGGTACGTAACAGGCTAGCATTCTGTAAGCACGTTAATGATCGCAGATCCCCGAAACTCCCCACGTTTTACAGAGCTTGCAAGATCTACTTCGGTTGGTGTTCAGATTTTTGTACAGCTTTGCAATCCGGTAAAGGCGTCAGTGGGATAGTTGAAAAACTTTTAGTTGAAATTAAACATAAATTTACTTTTAGTTAAACGCCACCGATATACAGCTGCGATTACAATTGGCTGAAAAATTATCTGGTTAGAACTTTATGACACCGTAATTTTTTACAAAAACCTTTATCATTACATCTCTATGGGCTCGACCAACTAACCACTATTTGTCTTACACATTCATCACCATTACCTGTGGCCAGTCCCAGTCATATTGTCCCTCGGTGCAATTTGTAGGAATCGTCATATAGACTCCAGGTTCCTCCGTTGGGGGTATTTTACTACAATGGGGAAGATAGGTGAGTCTTTGAATACAGCAAACGGCATGCACGGATTGTTTAACAAAATTGAATATATCAAAATGGACTCCGGTATGTTCAAATATTTCAAAACATTATTTTATTTTCATCTGCCATTCTCACAGATTCGAAGGTCCAGCTTTCGCTGGTAGTGGTGGCGAAATCATGAAGCGTGGTCGATGTAGTTTTTTAAAATGAAAAAAAATAATCACCTGATTCCAAAAAAAACATCAGATGCCCTGTTGTCGAAACACCTCACGACTCAGCCGTTCGATCACCCATTACATTATAATATTGGAATCCAATTACAAATAAAGAGGTTTCCTTTGTTTAAAGCCAAGAATAGCTTTCCCAAGATCTTCAGGTCGCAACTGACCAGGATTTAGTCTTTTTTTTTTTACCCCGGAGAATATATAAACAAAGGCGAAACACCTAGTATCACCCCCACCCCCACCTCACACGCACACCCACAAAAAACCAGCCACGATGTCCGAGGTGCAAAAAGATTGTTGACAAAATGTTGCTGTCTAATGCAGTGGAAAGTTTCTTCTTCTTGTCGGAGTAAAGAAAACTGTGTCGGTAGAACTGTTGAACCAATCGACCACATCTGATGTCGACATACTTGTCAAGTCTCATTTCTCTAAAACCTATAAAAACCTATTCATGATATCAGTGAAGCTCTGTATAAAAACCTTTTGATAAAAATGTAACTGTTCACGTAATTGTTAAGTTCTTATCATAAATGTATGTTTAGTAAGTTCCGTCGCCCCCACCCCCTTTACTCATTTTGTACTTAATAACTCACCCAAACCCTTACAAGACTTTACACCCTAGAGGGTTAGGTAGTATGCCCACTGATTTCAACCACTGATTTAAAAAAAAAAAAGAGACTTGCCTGTATAAATTGCTTAATCGGCATGAGTCGTCGAATAAATCTGGCAGCACCCCTCCAAGTCTGGCAACGAACAACACAAGCACAACAGCATATCCGTATTTCATTATACTCAAATTATAATATACCGCTGAAACTGTTTTTAAGAAAAGTACTCAACGCATCAGCTGGTTAAGTCAAAGATAAATGGAGCTTCGAAAAGTTACACTATACTCAGTACAATCAGTCTTTTTTTTAAAATAGCATATGTATCCTAAGGTCAGAGGTCAGCATCAACAAAGACAAAAACACATTTAAATATTTTTTTTTGTACTGTGAGTGACTTGCAGAAAAGTCAACATGAAAATATCCTATGATGTTTCTCCTTCTTCCAATCTAAACATTGCGGTAAAACGTGTGTTCAATGTCAGGGTTATGTTGTAAAAAAAAAAAGGGGGGGGGGGCAAAATATAATATATGTAAAAACTCAACAAACAATTAAAATTATAAAGTCATAGTTAATGAGATATATTTTTTTATTGTATGGAATTGACACAGCTCTTTATGTTCATATATTTTCGCTTTCTGTACATTAATTCAAGTGAAACTGAAGTTTCACCATTAATATAAGTGAGATTGAGGCTTCACTATTAGTTCAAGTTAAATTGAGGTTTCACTACTAAACCGTAAGCATCTTCTTTATAACCTCAACCAGTTAGTGAAATTTTCTGATAACAGAGTGCTCATTTTGTTCTCACATTTCCCACACACATCAAAGTTTGATATAAAGCTGATTACTATTAGAATGATTATATTGTGTAAAAGCAAAGATGGTAAATTTTCACAAGGGTTTTCAAGGGGGGGGGGAGGGGGAAGGGAGGAGTGTGTGGGGCGTTCAGTGCCATATCCGCCATTCATTTAGATTTGAATGTGGAATGTAATCTCAGTGTGTTTGGGACTTGGTCACAACGGTGTAGTTGAAGGAAGTCATGTACGCCAGCATGGGATCAGCCTGCACCAGCAGCTCCGTTGTCCCGCCCACAGCCTTGGTACACGCCGGGTGTCCTACGGAGAGGGGAAATTTGGCACTGTTAGCGCAAACTCAAATCAAAGATGACATGCACTTTGTCCCCCGTTGTCCCCGTTGATTTTAATTTTTACTGCCGCGTATCGTTAATTTTAAACTTATGAAGATTTGACAGAAGAGGGGGGGGGGGGATAAATAAACGCCTGATTAGTGGCGTGACTTATGAGTCTTAGGACAAGGGAATTGAATGACAACAAAATATGGCAGACAGCTTCTTCATACTTACCTCAAAGGCGCAGCTTTATTTTGTGTGTCAATAAAAAGTTAAATTTTTAACACAAATTCAAAACAAAACCTAATTATAAATGCAATAAAATATTTAATAAACAGTCAATTTAAAAAGACATACCATATAAATTTAAAATCACACAAAGTGGGATTTTTGTATATTATCATTTACAGGTATGCTATCATTTATGTGTAAGTTATCAGTCGAACGCATGCTATCATCACCAGGCATCTATAAAATAATAAGTCACGTTCCACGGCGTAGAAAGTGGTGATAGATGGGGTTTTTCGCTCCAGGCAGGGGGAACATTTGTTTCTTCATTTGGGGAGGTGGCAGTTTCGGCTAATTGCAATTTTTGGTCTTGGAAGATTTCAGGGCGGTACTCTACCTAGCTAGGCCACTGAACTGCCGGTACTATACTTAGCTACGCCATTGAGCTGGTGGGGATCTAACCTAGCTAAGCCATGTTGAACTGATAATAACTATCCTAGATACAACACAGCTTCCGTTGCGACCAACAAAAAAAGTGGGGACTACTGTGATCCTTAAAAAGACGTGATTTTCGTCTAATCCCTGATCCAAGATCAAGATCACGTGGTTCAGGAGTCGTTCGCAAATTATGTCACGCAAAAAAAGACCTTTTCAGACCCCCCTTCCCCTCTAACAATGTGTCACAAATCCCCCCCCCTCCCATTTTTTAAGTGCAACGTCACACTTAAAAAATCAAAACATACATAAAATATGTTATTCTTTAACATTTTCCCACAATGGATGAAGATGTAGTATTATTAGAAATCTGTGACGTGAAACAACGAAGTCATCCCCGAGCCAAATGTAAAATGGTCACAACAGTTTTTGCGCAAAAGATGTGCGCGACTGAGGTTTATATTACCTATGATACCTGAGGCACATTCGACCTAAAATTAATGTTTTAAAAATTAATTGCGTAAAGATTTTTATCAAAATTAGAAAATTTTAGATTTATTTTTTTTAAAATTAGTAACGTCACAAAAGTTTGCCCCCCGCCTCTCCCCGTCACAAAGTGGCACGAATTCTCGATTCCCCCCCCCCCTTTTTTCCGAGCATGACGTAATTTGAGAACGACCCCTAAGTCACCTTGATATCAGTTAATTTACTGACCTGCTGTGGGCAAGTTGAGAACTTTGTTGACTCCCCCTGTCACCTCCCTGACCTCCGCCACCATGGTGGCCCAGCCCTCTATGAGGCACAGGGAGTAGGTCAGGCTCGGCAGCGACAGCTGAACATGGAGCTTGCCCTGGATTTGATGTTATTAGTGGTTGGTGAACCCTAACGTGAATGGTATTTGCATTTATTGATCCCTTAGGGCTGTTAATTACAGTTAATTGTCCTTTAAAGCTTTTAATTATAGTTGATGAACCATGTTGAAGATTATTAATTTTGTATCATTCCTAAAATGAATTTTATGTGAGATTGAGGTTTCACCAATAATTCAAGTGAGATTGAGGTTTCACTATTAATTCAACATTACACCATGGGTAAATTTATATAAAGGTCTTTAAAAGATCTTTTTTTTAAAATTTTTCTCCCTCAATTAAATAACTTCGAGAAGAAACAGCCAACCCCTCCCCCCCCTACCCCAAATCACCCACCCCCCATACACACACTATTCACTATTAATTCAACATTACACCATGGGTAAATTTATATAAAGGTCTTTAAAAGATCTTTTTTTTAAAATTTTTCTCCCTCAATTAAATAACTTCGAGAAGAAACAGCCAACCCCCCCCCCCTACCCCAAATCACCCACCCCCCATACACACACTTTTTTAAAATGGAATACCAAATCTTACTGTACAGCTATTTACATGAAAGCTTTCTGTTCATGGTTGTGTGAATCTATCATTTCATTTCAGCCACTGTTTCCTACCTGTGGGTAATGCCAGTCTATGCGACCGGAAGTACAGTTTTGAGGTATCGTGATATTCGTCTGGGCATCTGGTCCATCAAAATGGCTGGATTTAAATTTAAAAAAAAGAAAAAGTAAAAACATAATTTAAAAAAAAAACATTTGAACTCGAGGAGAGGGAGGCAGTGGTATGGCGAAGATTATTTGGGGGGGGGGGGGATGGCTAAAATTTAAAAAAAAAATAAATCTCTTTGATCTTGTATAAACATGCCTTCTTCTTCTATTTAATAATAGGATCTATCAAAGTATAAGGTGTTGTTTAAAAAAAAAATAATTAAAAATAAGGTAAAAGGTGAAGTCTCCCATGATACAAGGCGAGTAAGTACAGTCTTTGGAGACAACTTTTTTGTGTTTTCGTTGCTTCCAAAATGCATTGCATCCGGTTATATCCTCTGCCGGCGCCAACCCCATAATTTTATTTCAAAACAGATATTTATTTCCAAGTGAAACATTTTCGGAAGGATGTTTGTTCGAAATTAAATGTGTGTAACTTAAATTTCATTTCTTTAACATTTTTTGAAGGGAAGGTGCTAGTGAGAAATGGGGAAAATGTTCACTTTTTTAAAAAAAACTGATGTTTGGTTTCTCTATCCTTCACCTCCCCCCCCCTCCCCCCGATCCATTTTATTTCCGAGCAAATTTCTTTCGTTAAAATTTCTGGTAACCATTTAAGATTAATAAGGTCAATTAAATTTCATTTCTTTAACATTTTTTGAAGGGAAGGTGCTAGTGAGAAATGGGGAAAATGTTCACTTTTTTAAAAAAAACTTATGTTTGGTTTCTCTATCCTTCACCTCCCCCCCCCCTCCCCCCGATCCATTTTATTTCCGAGCAAATTTCTTTCGTTAAAATTTCTGGTAACCATTTAAGATTAATAAGGTCAATTATATAATTCTAATTCTTAACTTAATTTAGTACGTAGTTTTTAAAGTTCCCTGTTGCTATTTATGTACGATCACAGGTCTGCTGAAACCTGTAAAGAATATTATAGTGACGCTCTTGTGTCAAAACGACTACCCAAACCTCTCCACCATCTCAAATGCTCCACTTTCCCAACCCACTTAAGCCGCATTTCCTCCATATATACAAAGTATTGTGCGAATGAGATTTAAAAAAAAAAAATGCAATTAGAATGAAATTATTACGTTGACAAAGAGCAACAACAACAACAACATACCTCATTGTCACTAAGCTGCATCCGTCAAAGAGCGGAACAGACAGATCCACATGGAGCAAACACACCAGGGCGAGGATGACAGTCTTCATGTTCAGTGGAGTTCAGCACCACAGTCAATAACAAATGAAACAACGAAGCGATGGCGGGAGACACAGTGTTGTACTCGAATACAAAAAAATCAGTGATGTACTCGAATGAAAAAAGTAGGGTGATGTACTCGATTACAAATAGAATGTGATGTTTCCCGCACGCGACGAAAGAAGTAGTCCGCTTTTCGTTATACGATACGTATTAATTTTTAAATATTTTCTCTTTTTTTTTCCCAGAGGTCGGAAAGTAAGTCCCATAATTTTTTTAGATAACGTTTAGCTTTATTAAGCGTGCCTTGAACTTATGTCTTCAATTATCCAGATTATTCTAGATGACCAGGATTTTAAAATACAACGATTTGTTTGCTTTTTATTAAGGAATATCAATTTCAGTATCATTAATTTAAAAAAAAAAAGATTACAAACATTTTTGTTTAAGCCTGATGACAAAGATGCCTTTAATTTTTTTATATTTTACTGGGGCTACTAAACTTATCAAAAGAAAAGAAAAAAATATAAATAAAAAGAAACAATACATTGTTGAGCTCCTTCGCTGAGCAATCAAAAGAAATAGCTTGCCAGTTACGCAGAACAAAGGCAGAATGCATGAATTGGGTGTTCAAGTTTTTAATAGAAGGAAACTTCATAGAAGTGTGGTGAGATAAAAGATTAGTGTCTCGGACATCACTGTTGGATGGGAGTGATTCGGTAGCTGGAGGTTGTCTGTGACGTCACTGGTTGTTGGGAGTGATTCAGTAGCCGATTGGTGTCTGTGACGTCACTGGTGGAGACGAGTGATGCGGTAGCCAGTGGGTCGCTGTGTCGTCATTGGGTGGTGGGAGTGATACGGTAGCCAACGAGTGTCATGTACAGCTGCAAGGTGGGGGCGGTGAGGATAAGTTTTGCCACACCATCAGACGACAAGGTACAAGATGGCTTACCTGAAACGTTTTAAATTGTCAATGTGTGAATGTAATGGGGCCTTGTAACACGCATTTTTACCAACTTTCTAGCAACTCCCTGTGCATCTTAACACAGTTAGGTGTGAGTTGGGATTAAAGACAAACCGAATGTGGTTTTCTGATTTTGGCTGAAAACTGACTTAAAATGACTTTCGGTCTAAACCGAAACCAAAACAACAGATCTAGATATTTCAAAACTCGTTCGCGCATACGTTCTGCGTTCGTCGACAAATGATGGAGGAAAGTGTCGATATTTATATTCCTTTAATCAAAAATGAAATTATCGTGAGTTTTATTAAATACACATCTAATGAATACCATTTGAAATAAAAAGTAAGTTAAAGTTGTCAAAAATGTATTTTAAAGTAGTATGTAAATAGAAAATATTGGACTTAGTGTGTGTGTGTGGGGGGGGGGGAATTCATGCAAAATAGACCCTTGGGCGTCCTTTGCTTTTATAATATAATTACAGCGCTACCTCGACATATCTGGTATCGATCGAGAGCTTAGCCTGTTTATTGTTCATTGGTATGGCTCACTAAAATATCCAGACACTAGCCTTGTTCCGCTGACCCATTCATTGGTCGACGTTTAAATTTTTAGTTATCACTTATCGGCTAATTCAAATATGACCAAGATTAAACAAGAGTTAACGAATGTTGCGCACACGTTGATTATGATAATAATACAGTAGGCCTACTACATAATTATTATACGGAACAGTGACATATACACACATTTGTGTAGGCTTATGATTTAAATGAAACGCTGTTTTATGTCAATTTTACAAAATTGTAATTAATAATATTATGTTAACATGAATTAAAGGTTTCATTATTGTCTTTCTTTACATTTGTGACCATACAAATGACTAATGTTGTGGAATATTTAAACATTTTATATAATCAATGACAATGTTTATCAGCATGATAATGATGAATGTCAATAAATGAATGCATTGAAAAAAGCCAAAGGTTCCCTAATTTTTTCAAAAAATAATTTTAACATTTAGAACACGAATAATAATAAAAATGTTACCATTGCCTAGAATTTTTTTTCTCCCACATTACTTTTCCCCTTTGTATATAACAACATTTACGAGCATGATAATGATCCGTCAAAGTGAATGGCACATAGGAATGAATTGAACAAACCTTGGGTTCCCACGTTTCCTTTTGAAATAGAAATTAATTAAACAAAAGTAATAATATAAATATTACAATTCCTTTAGTTTTGTGTGTGTGTGTGTTCCACACAACTATTTACATTTGCCTAGGCCCTAATTGAAGTTTCATTTGTGGAAACATTGGACAAGAAGGCCACAATGCAACTGTGTTCGCAAAGGATTAGCCATATGTCATAAGTTGACAGCAGACGTCGAGCAATAATTAGTATGGGATTCACGAGCGTCATGGCTTTCTCTTTTCAAGTTTGCAAAGGTATACAATGCATGTTCGATTGATTGTAAAATGTTTTAAAGGTATGCAACGTGTGTCGGATTGGTTATTTAATGTTGAATATCCGAAATACCTCAGCCACATTTTAGCTTTATTTTGTTTTGTTATGTAGACCACTTGTAACTCAGCTTATTATGGATACCACTTGTAACTCAGCTTGTTATGTAGACCACTTGTAACTCAGCTTGTTATGGAGACCACTTGTAACTCAGCTTGTTATGGAGACCACTTGTAACTCAGTGCTTTCAATTTTTTGACCAATAGAGACAACCAATAAAATCAAACTGAAATCATCGCTGTACAGCAGGGTCAGGACATGCTAGCAAAGTACCAAACTTTAAACCCGCATGTTTTTTGCACTGATACCCGGTCAAGTTGGATCGGGCAGTCCGTCAAGTTAATTAAAGATATTAGCTGAACCAGCCGTTGACAGCTTAAGCTGAATGACAGCCGTTGACACCTTAAGCTGCATGACAGCTGTGTGTGAACACACCGTGGATTCCTCCCTGTCACTGGCATGAATTATTAACAAATACGTAAATAAGATACCTTCAGTCGGTAAGGGCAGTATCTTGTTGGCGCCCCCGGTGACGTCCTTGACACCAGACAAGTTCGTGGACCAGCTGCTCTCGACGCAGAGGGAAAAGCTTCCGCCAATGGCTGTTTGTTTCAGGAGAAGGGAGCCCTGCGTTTGAAGAAATGTATCAAAATGGCGCGAATGACACGCGGGAGCTTGCAGACGATATGTAGTGCCATCATAATGCCGTTTATCACATATATTACGTCATTAATAATGACATAATATTACGTCACATGTAATATCTTAATCTCAAATGTATGCTTGACCATTTTTCTATAGGCGTTGGTTGATTGCGTGCAAGAAGCAACGGAACATGTCAATATATTTGATATTATTTATATCAACTTCGCTTTTGTTCGTGTGTTTATAGCACAACTGACCCACTTTCCGTCATCCTATCGAACTGAAAATTGGCACATCGAGTCGTTGCCAGTGACAACACTTTATGTCAAATTTTTAATCCCCACCCCCACCCACAACCCCAAAAATTAGTTGTTCGTGGTTTTCCAGGTGACGTTGAATGAAATATGATCTGTTCATGGCTGCTTGTTCTGGTGTGGAGATTAATTGTGCAGCTTTTGCTACGTGCTTTGTATTTGTGATGTATTTGGGTTTAAATGTGTCTTTAGTCTATTAGGTTTTACATGCATTAACTTTTATTAAAAAAACATACCTATACCAAAAATCATTTAGCTACAATCACATAAATGATAAATCCCGTAAACTAAATGCCTATAAAGGATTGATACGATAAAACTTTTTTTGTTTTTTGTTTATTTTTTGGTTTGGGGGGGGGTGTTTAATTTGTGTCTAAAACTTAACATTACAACGGATTTATATTCGGCAAGCTTTGATTATAATTGTATTTCATTGCTGTCAGTTATTTTTGTTGTGTTTTTTTTTTGTTGTTTTTTTTTGTTTGGGTTGGTGGGGGGTGGAAAACTAGTTTTACTTTTTCTTTGAGAGGTGCAGATTTAATTTACGTGCAGTAATTTCTTTTTTTGTTTTTATTCTTTAAAAAAAATTAAATTATGGAAACAGCTCATTACAATCGTGTCTGGCATTTGATAGGTCACGTGACTCAATTTGATAAGGGTTTTGTTTATCTCGATAGGGTTAAGAAAAAAAAAACCCAAGGGACATGGGATCCATACGCTACATACGCAAAAAATTCAACTCGAGTGGATTAGTCGGACAGTATAGGAGAGTAGGAGTGAGGAAAGGAATGACGTGGGGAAAGGGGCATGGCTTTTAAATTGTACCTAAATGGGGCTTAAAGTGTAACAGTCGGCTCATACCTTGGGGTAGTTCCAGTCAATTTCACCAGACAGGCAGTTCTTGGGCACGGTGACGTTAACGACCTGGTCGGTATCTCCTGACAGGTTGCTGGAGATGACCAGAACAACATCTTTCCTTTTGAACTTTTATTTTTAAGGCGTCAGTATGTCTACTGAAACCAGGCTCAACAATAGCTACTCCAATGGTAACTAGGCTCAACAATAGCTACTCCAATGGTAACTAGGCTCAAAAATAGCTACTCCAATGGTAACTAGGCTCAACTATAGCTACTCCAATGGTAACTAGGCTCAACAATATCTACTCCAATGGTAACTAGGTTCAACAATAGCTACTCCAATGGTAACTAGGCTCAACTATAGCTACTCCAATGGTAACTAGGCTCAACAAAAGCTACTTAAATGGTAACTAGGCTCAACAATAGCTACTCCAATGTTAACTAGGCTCAACAATAGCTACTCCAATGTTAACTAGGCTCAACAATAGCTACTCCAATGTTAACTAGGTTCAACAATAGCTACTCCAATGGTAACTAGGTTCAACAATAGCTACTCAAATGGTAACTAGGTTCAACAATAGCTACTCCAATGGTAACTAGGCTCAACAATAGCTACTCCAATGGTAACTAGGCTCAACAATAGCTACTCCAATGTTAACTAGGCTCAACAATAGCTACTCCAATGTTAACTAGGCTCAACAATAGCTACTCCAATGTTAACTAGGTTCAACAATAGCTACTCCAATGGTAACTAGGTTCAACAATAGCTACTCCAATGATAACTATGTTCAGCAATAGCTACTCCAATGACAACGATTTTCAAGACTTCAACCTAGAAGCAGTGGCGCAGCTAGAGTTAGGGTCGACAGAGGCGGACCAACATTTTTGACGACCCCCCGCCCCCTCTACGAAATTTTTTTTTTCAGCTTGTTTAAAATGTCACCACTCTTTATACGGAAAAAGGGCCACCCGGGGCAACCTGCCCCTACCTACGCCCCTGCTAATTAGGTACACACCATAGGATGAACTTTCTGCTTCAATAAGAGAGATAATTGGTTTCTTATTTTTTTTTCCTGAACACCTTGATTATTTCTCCTCGATGCTAAATTCTTTACGTAATTCTCTTCGCAAAAAACTTATAATGAGATTTCACATTAGCAAATCTATATTTTGATGGAATATTTCAATGCATAATATAATGTAAGCCTATCTTAACTCTACGTGTAACTAAAAGGTTAGAGGAAATATTCTATTGTTTCAAAATGTGGACTCAATAGTAAAGAAATGAGACGAAACTGAACAAAAATAACACTCTCTATGAAACTCACTGCTTACCTCCACGTTAGTATATTACAGGGATCCCCAAACTCGTCAAGGGATAGCACCACGTGACATCCGCCAATAAAAAACACTGTTAAGAGACGCAGGAGTTCCATGATGGTCTGAGCAGTACCAAACCCGTGAGATTGTGTTGCCAGTTGCCAGCGAGTACAGGAGAAAAATGGCGTCCCATGGCCTCAATTCGGTAGTCATATTATCTCGTCAGCAAAAGTTCGGTAGCTCGTACGTGAACGGCCAATTTAAAATAATTGTTTTATTACTCTTTTATGCTTTTTATTCAACATACAATGTCGAGTGCTCTCCAACCTCCCAAGATTTGTATTTTTGAGGGGGGGGGGGAGGGTTAGGATTGTTCCATTAATCAAATATTTAGTTAGAAATCATCAAGAAAAGCATAGCTGTTGTGTTAGTTTAAATACAGAGCGATCATAGTAATTACACCAATATAACATATCTTTTTCAAATTATACTACCCTGACAGATTCCCCTCCTCTGACCGATAAATGATCTTGCTGGCTGCCGTCCATGGTTTGCCTTGTAAAAGTTATGTGATGGGGTGGGTGAATATACATTGCTGTTCTTTATTTCATAAATGTATTTTATTTTGATGTCATGATTATGTCTCTTTTGATAAAATTTTCATGTACAACGCGGTGAGCCCAGTTCTAGGCTGGGGTACCGCGCTATATAAGACCTCTTATTATTATTATTATTATTATTATTATTATTATCATTAGTATGATTATGTACGGTGTGGGTTTACTGGTGTTACAGCTGTTCATAACACAGGTACAAAGTATCTACCGTGCGTTTTATAATCCCCTTGTCTGTCACATAAGGAAATATTACGGTCTATTTTTAGATCGTTAAATTATCATTGTTTTACGTGAACTTAGTTTGAGTGGTTTGGTAGTGTTGTCGCATGATGGTGTTCTGTTCTGTTGTTTTATCTATATATTATTTTGTGTACTACTGGCTGTACTCTACTTTACTAGGTCTGTCCTGTAGGGTTGGCACTGTGTTGAAATGGACACCTTGAAAAGGCCAAGTATTTACAAACCGGAACTAAAGAGACCGACCGACAGTGATTTTCTGATTTCGGCCGAAACCGAAAATGGGCTGAAAGTTTAAAAATGACTTTCGGTCGAAACCGAAAATAGACCGAAAGTTTAAAAATGACTTTCGGCCGAAACCGAAAATAGACCGAAAGTTTAAAAATAACTTTCGTCCGAAACCGAAGCCAAAATTGAGAATGAAATATTTAGATATTTTGAAATTCGTTCCCGCATACACTCTGCATACATCGAAAATGATGGGGGAAAGTATAAATATTTACATTCCTTTTATAAAAATGAGATAATCGTGAATATTAATAAATAAACATCTAGCGAGCCATTTGTGACCCGCAAGACGATAATTAGCAGCCCGCTACATGAAAGCAAAGTTTAGTGTTAATGCGCCGTCGCGTTTTCCCCATCCTCATATCTACAACGTGACTCTCCGCGACGGTTTCTGTAGGTTTTCGGAGAGTATGTCCTATCCATCTCCAACTTTTCTTTAAGATGTCTTCGTCGATGGGCACCTGGTGAGTCCTTTCTAGTAGATCTTTTTTGGTGATAATATTTGGCCATTTGATGTTCAGGATCTTTCTAAGGCATGTGTTTATGAAGGTCTATACTTTCTGCGTAATGCTCGCCGTTGTTTTCCAAGTTTCTGCTCCATATAGTAGGATTGTCTTTTAAAATAGAGTTTGTCAAAAAAGACCATTACTACGATAAAATGTTAAAATTCATTCTACCTACAATAGCTGCTTCCTTCGCATCAATAATTCATAAATATGGCCTGCTCCTGCCTACTGCTTGACACGTTTTAGCATTTAAAGCCTTCACGGAGAAGGCTGGGGTGGTTGTTCCTTTACTAAGTGATCCCAAATGGCTCATGGGCTTGGTTTTTCTTGTTGACATAACACAGGATCTGAATGTACTCAACAAGAAGTTACAAGACCAGGGGTAGCCTTTCAATGTTGCCTATGACAATGTCAGGGCATTCTGAACAAAAATTGTGTTATGGTTCTTAGAGAAACTTCTGTCATTTCCCAAAATGCAAAGTACTCATGGACTCGGGCACACCATTCATTAGTAACTTAGTAGTATGTATACTGATGCCATTGTAAAGCTACAGAAAGAACTTGATCACATTTTTTAGACTTCAAAGCACAGACAGCCACTTTTCAGCGTTATGCTGACCCTTTGTCCTTTAATGTGCAAGATGCCCCGCGCGGGGAGCTGAATGGAAAGACAAACAAGCATGAACATTTTATTGCATTGCCCTCCACCTTCCCTGACATTTTTAAGTTGTTCAAGCGGATCATATGACTTTTTGGTAGTACCTATCTGTGTGAGAAGCTCTCTTCCACTACGCACTTTAACAGTCAAAGTACTATCCGCATATTCAAAACATGATACTCATAAGTCAAAATCGTCAGTGGTTCTCACACACTAACACACGGCTCTGTACAATCACCGCAACACAATAAACCTTAAACCAATCTTGCCGTGACAGAGCCGAGCACTAGTATCATATTAAACTATTCATTTCCTAACTGCTTGTAATTACCCGTGGGTAGATCCATGATACTGTGCCGCTCTTGCAACTACTGGGTATTGTTACCATTTTAACCTTGACTAGTATGTCACTGTGCAGGGAGAACAAATTAGCTATCATTATCACTGTGCAGGAAGAAAAAAAACAATCGCCTTTTAATGTTGTAAACTGCCTTGGCCCCTGAAACAGAGTCCCTGGTTTTATACCCAGATTGTTACTTGCATTGGCGTGTTTGTATCATCACTAAAGTACGTGTGGTTCAGTGGCGTAGCTATCACCTTAAAGTAAGTATGATTCAGTGACATAGCTATCACATTGTAACAAGAAAAAAAACATTATTATTACTTACTAAAATTGAATAAATGTAGTGAGCAGAAAATATGTTCACAATATTATCCATTTTCATGGTAATCTTATCACACTTTCGTATCTTCGTGATGTTACAACGTTCCTCTATCATTGTTATCTCAAAACTGTCCGATATAAAGGTAATCTTACAACTGTCCGGTTTCATGGTAATCTTAAAACTGTCCGATGTCATGGTAATCTTAAAAGTGTCCAGTTTCATGGTAATCTTACAACAGTCCAGTGTCATGGTAATCTTACAACTGTCCGATATTGTGGCAATTTTACAACTGTCTGATATCATGGTAATCTCACAACTGTCAAATATCCTTGTAATCTCACAACTGTCAAATATCAGGGTAATCTTACAACTGTTCGTTATCATGGTAATCTTACAACTTTCAAATATCGTGGTAATCTTACAACTGTCCGTTATCATGGTAATTTTACAACTTTCCGTTATCATGGTAATCTTACAACTGTCAAATATCATGGTAATCTTACAACTGTCCGAGATCATGGTAATCTTACAACTGTCAAATATCATGGTAATCTTACAACTGTCGGTTATCATGGTAATCTTACAACTCTCCGTTATCATGGTAATCTTACAACGGTCCGTTATCATGGTAATCTTACAACTGTTCGTTATCATGGTAATCTTACAACTGTCCGTTATCTTGGTAATCTTACAACTGTCCGTTTTCATGGTAATCTTACAACTGTCAAATATCATGGTAATCTTACAACTGTCGGTTATCATGGTAATCTTACAACTGTCGGTTATCATGGTAATCTTACAACTGTCAGTTATCATGGTAATCTTACAACTGTCCGTTATCATGGTAATCTTACAACTGTCAGTTATCATGTTAATCTTACAACTGTCCGTTATCATGGTAATCTTACAACTGTCCGTTATCATGGTAATCTTACAACTGTCTGTTTTCATGGTAATCTTACAACTGTCCGTTATCATGGTAATCTTACAACTGTCCGATATCATGGTAATTTTACAACTGTCCCCAGCACTCACCACGCAAACCACACTCCCTCAACCCAGCATACAGCAGCCCGAGTCTAATTGCCGTATCCCCTGACCATAATACCTTCCGAAAAGAACACTCGCCAAAAATCCTACAGCTCTTGTCTGAGCTGCTCCGCCCCACCCTTCTCCCACTGCCCACTGAACGAAGCAGACGCTATGTAGACACAACTTTAACACGAGAAAAAAAACGATCAACTGAGCCAGAGAGTCTCGTATATCCGCCATAAAATTAAGCCTGATAAACAAGATGAAAATGCGAGTAGAAACAAATTGTATAAAAAATATTGAACTTCAACCAAGAAAGGAGCGCATCTTTCTATATAAATTTTAAGACACTCCTGTTCAACAAGGTAAGACAATCACACACACCTCAATACGTAACCCAATTTCAAGATGGTACACAATGAATAGTTCATTTAATTAATGATCAATGAGATCTCACCAAATTATCAGGTGAGTATTGAAAAGTGTTGTGTGTTGCTCATTACTTGCGGTATTCAATTTTCCACCAAAAGAGCACACGCAAAACCTGTTCACACACTTTACCCCGTAGGAGTTAGAATATGTAGTTTAAAAAAATATAATCAGGTCATGAAAAAGTTATAAAATTACAAAACAATTCAAACCTGTTTTTTTTTTTTTTTATTTAAGTATTTAAAACCCATTTTGTAGTGTTGCGCTTGTTTTAAATGTGGTAAATTATAGACTTGTTTTTTGTTGACTTTTTATCGCGCTTCGAGCCTTTGGGGATGAAGCGTGTTTTTTAAATGAACTTTATTATTATTATTATTATTAATAGAAATACAGTACGTGAAAACAACGAAGTCATCCCCGTGCCGAATGTAAAATGGCCACAACAGTTTTTGCGCAAAAGGTGTGCGCGACAGAGGTTAACTTTACCTATAATACCTGAGGCAATTTCGACCAAATATTAATGTTTTTAAACTGATTAAATAACGATCAAATAATATTTTCTAATATTTTCTTATAGTTTCCAATATTTTCTAATATTTTCTTATAGTTTCCAATATTTTCTAATATTTTCTTATAGTTTCCAATATTTTCTAATATTTTCTTATAGTTTCCAATATTTTCTAATATTTTCTTATAGTTTCCAATATTTTCTAATATTTTCTTATAGTTTCCAATATTTTCTAATATTTTCTTATAGTTTCCAATATTTTCTAATATTTTAAAAATATTTTATAATATTTTCTAAAATTGTCTGATATTTTCTAACATATTCTCGTATCTTCGATGTTCCTATAATTAAGTTAAAGCACAATTGTGTTTTATTTCATTGTTCTTTGGTGTTTTGTTATTAACTTGCTATATGCATTTATGTAAGGGTGGTAAACTATGTTGCTACCATGTTTTAGTGTGGTAAGTCAAGTTGATACCATGTTATAGTGTGGTAAATCATGTTGATACCATGTTATAGTGTGGTAAGTCATGTTGATACCATGTTTTAGTGTGGTAAGTCATGTTGATACCATGTTTTAGTGTGGTAAATCATGTTGATACCATGTTTTAGTGTGGTAAATCATGTTGATACCATGTTTTAGTGTGGTAAATCATATTGATTCCATGTTATAATGTGATAAATCATGTTGAGACCATGCTATCCGGTGGTAAATCACGTAGCTACTATGCTTTAAAGTGGTTAATCATACATCTACCATAACATATTATGCTTGGTGGTAAACATACATATGAGCATATATATGAACATACATAGAAACATAATTTAAGCCAACTGAATTGATAGAGAATTGTCTACTTTGAGCAAGGGTCATCCATTAAATATGAATAAAATAAAGTTGTATATGCTTTTTTTTATTTGCACAACTTTAGGACATATCATTTACAATTTTCCATGCGTCAGACGGGAAGAATCCTGTAGTGGAAATCTGTCAGATATACTGGGTCGTCTGGGGCTAAGACCAGCAGTTTTGTAGTGCCGTATAGGTCATTGGTACACGTCGGATGACCTGTTGGGGAAAATACATTATTTATGTACACATGTGGGATATTGGTTCGCAAGACGGTTAATCCACAATGGATGCTATACGACCGAAGATACCATTGTAGCCGTCTTAAGCTATTCGTATACCACATTGGATTCTACCCGAGATCCGACTCTTAGCCATGCGGAATGACACAATTCTATTCCTCACCAGCGTGGTCTGCAAACTGTTGGAGCATATAATCGTAAGCTAAGTCATGAAGCATCTTGAAAGCCAAAATATACTCAATGACTTTCAAAATGGCTTTCGAGACAAAAGATGATGTGAGACCCAGCTCCTTGAATTTGTAGAAGACTTGATGACCAATCTTGAGAACCACAAGCAGACTGACGAGCTGGTGATGGACTTCGCAAAGGCATTTGACCGTGTCAATCATAGTTTGCTTTAACACAAACTTCAGAGATATGGAATCCTTAAAACATGGATCTCTAGCTTCCTCAGAAACAGACGCCAAGCAGTAGTGGTGGACGGTACACACTCTTCCTTTGTCGGTGTTAAGTCAGGGGTCCCCCAGGGATCAGTGCTAGTCATCTGTTTGTTCGTAGCATACATGAATGACTTACCCGAGAAACGGACATCCCAAGCAAGAGTGTTCGCAGATGACACCGCGGCGTATAGGACGGTCATCAACATATCTGACCAGTATCAGCTACAACAAGATCTCAATCAGTTAGCTGAGTTGGAGATGAGCTGGGATATGGAATTTCATCCTGCCAAGTGCTAGACACTATCAGTCTCTAGAAGTTGTACTCCTCTACACTACCAATACGAACTGCATGGCCATATACTTGAGCCAGTTTCCTCCGTAAAGTATCTGGGTGTTACCATTCAAAGAGCGGTCCACTGGGACGAGCATGTTAACATGTAACCAAGCAAACAAGACCCTGGGGCTCTTAAGGCATAATATAAAGATTGGCAACTCCAGTGGGAAAGATGAGCCCATAAAGCCTTTGTCCGTCCGGTTTTACATTATACATCTTCAGTCTGGGACCCATTTACCCAGAAGAGCATCGACAGGTTGGAGGCGGTCCAGCGACGGGCAGCACGCTTTGTCCTAAACCGCTACAGGAATACATCTAGTGTTGGCAGCATGCTGGAAAAACTAAGCTGGTCACCATTGGAGGAATGACGACGACAATCCAGGCTCTCCATGATAACCAATGGGCTGGTCCACTGCTACAGCATTAAACAGAAACTCATCCCTCTCCCCCCATATGCCATGACAGGCAATTCCGGCTCATACAAGCAAGAAGCCATTATCTGAACTGCTCATTCCTGCCAAAGACAATCAGGAACTGGAACAAGCTTTCAAAAGGAACAGTTGAGGCAACAACACTCGACACATCTGCGTCTATTACCTCAGGCCTTTCAACCCCGAGTGCATGATACCCTCTCAAAGTAGCCCTTGCAAACAGTGAAATATCCTCATCAACAGCAGGCACAGAAACATTGCAAATCCCCTCTACATTAATAGGAGCTAAAATGATCACTAAATTGATCGTGGGCCCTTAATACATAGAAGAAGACGTTACCTTCTGTGGGTAGGGGCAGTGTCCTGTTCAAACCACCGGTCAACTCCCTGACCCCGCGATGTTGGTGAAGGCATCCCTCTCCACACAAAGGGACTGGATGTGGCCGAACAGCGTAAGAGTTAGGAGTAAGCCGTCCTTGTATGAAGAGAGAATCGAGGTAACGTGGGAAATGGAGAAACTATTAAATAATTTAAATTTTTGAGATGTAAAATTGACCAAACAGTGCATAGGAACGAATCAATTTAAAAAAAAAACAAGATTTAGAAATAATTTATACAGCCTTAAATTTAATTAAAAATCTACTCAGGATTGTATGTATGACATAACAAAGTACAAACAACGTAAATACAGTTATATCAAACATAACATTACATATGCTTGACTGTTTGATATCCACCCAATGTCCTCGTACCTTTGGATAGTTCACATGTCCTCATACCTTTGGATAGTTCCAGCGCACCAACCCATAGTCACATGTCCTCATACCTTTGGATAGTTCCAGCGCACCAACCCATAGTCACATGTCCTCATACCTTTGGATAGTTCCAGCGCACCAACCCATAGTCACATGTCCTCGTACCTTTGGATAGTTCCAGCGCACCAACCCATATACCTTTGGATAGTTCCAGCGCACCAACCCATAGTCACATGTCCTCATACCTTTGGATAGTTCCAGCGCACCAACCCATAGTCACATGTCCTCGTACCTTTGGATAGTTCCAGCGCACCAACCCATATTCACATGTCCTCATACCTTTGGATAGTTCCAGCGCACCAACCCATAGTCACATGTCCTCGTACCTTTGGATAGTTCCAGCGCACCAACCCATAGTCACATGTCCTCGTACCTTTGGATAGTTCCAGCGCACCAACCCATAGTCACAGTTTTGCTGTACGACCAGCTCTGTGATAACTTGAGAGTTGCTGTCGATAAAACGTAATCTAGAATAACAACGAGCTGATGCACAAGTAAACGTTTTTTACAGCTATATATATAAGACTTTTTGGTACTTAGGCTCTAATCACAGACATTCCAGACTGCATTAGGTCATGTGACATCTGTCTGCTAGATAGCCACATTTCAAATAGTATTGAATTAGAGAGGGGTTGGGGGGGGTTGTACAAAGCCGAATGTTTGCAGTGGGCCGCACAAAGTTTAGCTACGGCTCTGGTTACGACCACAACCACCCTCCCCCCCCCTCTTTTTCGGTTTTCAATTACTTTTTTTATAAATAAAAATCCAAATACGTTACCGCGACACTAATGTTATCGTATGAATAACACTTGCATTACCTGGCAGTGTTTATTGTGCATTGATCAACTGAGTCGCTGTCTGACAGCACGAGATGACAGCTGATGACGACAACAGCAGAAATCAGGGGAATGGTGAATGTCATGTTTCTCTCTGGCACTGGTCGGGCTAAACAACGAACGTGTGTTTGTTCTGTGTGTGCACATACTTTGTACGTCACGGGAAAACAATGCAACGAATGAAAATGGTTGACACAGATAACACGTGTTTAATGTAACTTACAGCTTCGACCAATGTTTTCAGTCATTTTAATCGTATTTTTATTTGAAAGAGACGAACAAGATCTCGTTATTGATTCCATGACATATCATCAATGCTAGGTCCCGTTCTCTAGGTCCCATTCTACAGGTCCGATTGTCTAGGTCCCGTCTCCTAAGCCCCGTTCTCTAGGTTCCATTCTCTAGGTCCCGTTCTTTAGGTCTAGTTCTCTAGGTCCCATTATCTAGGTCCCATTCTCTAGGTCCCGTTCTTTAGGTCCCGTTCTCTAGGTCCCATTCTGTAGGTCCCGTCTTCTAGGTTCCGTTCTCTTGGTACAGTTCAAGAACAGAGTAACAATTCTATATCTCTTATTTGTGATATTTTTACACTCTTTTTTATTTCCTTTTTGCTTGTGAACCATGGAAAGAATGCTTCATTTCTGCTTGAATCATATCTCTATTTCTTTCATACGGCGCGTGGCTTTCTAATGTTTTATGACCTAGCCCCTTTAAAAAAAAACATGTTGGAACATATATACCCCATTTAGACCCGATTAAGACCCCACAGAGACCCGATTGAGACCCACAGAGCTATAATATATAGAGTGCGCGCTGGACATACGCAAAGAAGGAAAGTGTGAAGCTAGCACGCAACCCTTATCTTTGCTTCCCGTCGGCAGACGTAGAGGAAAATGTTGCATAGAATTGTGCAACAAAAGACACAAAACCATCAAGACACCAAGGAACTACTTTACGCCGGTATGTTGATTAGTTTGTGTTTCATTTAACTTACCTTGAAAAGGATTTAATTTTCAAGATCCGGCTGGATTAAAAATTTATGACCACCATAAAGTATACATCTGTGCCATACCGAAGACATCAAACATTTATGAGCAAGTGTTAACTGCCAAACTATTACATTTCTAAAAGACAGAAAACTCATTCACCTCTGGTATGAGGGACTTCTTTGCTGAAAGAGGTACATAGAATCGGTACACAAGTTTCAACACAGCATTGCTGGAGTGAAACTACTTATGCGCCAATTTCAGTGATGGTGATGGCAACAAAACCTTGTCATCTAAATATGGTTAAAAGGGATCCTGGACAAAATTGGGTTGATGCTATCAAGGGGGACTTTGGATAACGTGTGTCATACTAGAATGCTGAGCAAGAAATTTTTTTTTATTCAAGCGGTAATTGAAAATTCTTTAAAAAATTGTGATTTTGACGAGAGCACCTGAGTGAAGTTTGAGACTGTGAAATCATGTTGCTGGTGCATTCAAAAGTTCAATAGTATTCTAAACCAACATGTCCATGTTTGCTGAAAAAAAAAACTAATTAAAAGAACTTCATTTTCATAATAAACTTAAAATTTGTCCCTTTTAAAGTTTAAAATTGATTTTTTTTTTCAATTGTTTTCTTACGAATAATCCTAAAATCACAGCTAATATACAAGCTGTAGTGATAAAATTAGGTGTGTAGCTTCATTTATCTATTTTGTGGGTTATGGGCTATTCAAAAGTCAATTTGGTCAATTACTTTAAAAAAAATATATTTTTGTTATTTTCCTTGTATGATAAATTATAAGCGTTTTCAGCCGAGTCAAATTAAAAAAAAATTTTTTTTTAAGTTTTGAAAAGTTTGAAAGAAATTAAACTAGCTCAGTACCTCTAAATATACTTGAAGTTCATGAATCAATTTTTTAAGCAGTATGTAAGTTTTATTTTTTGAATTTTAAAACTCTAGGAATAGGTGTTATTTTCAAGATGCCAGCCATTGTTCAGTCTATATATCTCTATGTCTATGTTTAGACCCCATTTAGACCCCATATAAACCTTATTTATATCCAAATAGACGCAAAAAGACACCATATAGACCCCATATAGAGCCCATTTTCACACCCTATAGACCCTATGTAGACCACATATAGGCCCCATATAGACGCCAAAGTGCTACAAAGTGATTTTCGATTAACTAAGACGACCATTTTAAATCAAATCATCATTTATAAAGGCCACAAAATTACCGCCCATCACAGCCTTCAAAACTTCCTTTAAAAACAACAATCAAATAGACACAGGCAACATCCACATTTTTTGTTGTTTTTTTTTTTTCAACTGAAGGCATTCTACTATGATTCTACCCAAGACCAATTTCAAATAGGGGGGAAAAAAATCTATTTATTTTTAAATTTAATAATCAATAAAATCATTGGGACTACTTTTGTTACCTGCATAACAAATCAGGAGTTACGGCCCTTGGTTCCACCCCGCCACGGATATCAACACCCGTTCAATAAAACTGGCTACAGACTGCAACAATTCAATCCGAAATGTTGTACTACGAATGGAGGGCGTCACACGCTTAGCAGACTATGACTTTATAAGGCTCAGCGGTTCTAAAATTGGGACAACGTTGTAGTTTTGAAAAGTTTTTTGAGTTATAAGGTCCTTTCAATTTTTTTATATTACCTGGAATGTTGAACGTTCTGGAAATTTTAATAATTATGAAATCCTCTAAAAACGTGTAAGTGGCTTAAGGTTGACCACACTTCTCGGCAGTTGCTTAACTTAAAACACATGCCAACCACATGTCAACCACATGCAAACAACATGCCAGCCACATGTCAACCACATGCCAACCACATGCCAACCACATGCCAACCACATGCCAACCAAATGCCAACCACATGCCAACCACATGCCAACCACATGCCAACCACATGCCAACCACATGCCAACCACATGCCAACCACATGCCAACCACATGCCAACCACACGCCAACCACATGCTAACCACATGCCAGCCACATGTCAACCACATGCCAACCACATGCCAACCACATGCCAACCACATGCCAACCACATGCCAACCACATGCCAACCACATGCCAACCACATGCCAACCAAATGCCAACCACATGCCAACCACATGCCAACCACATACCAACTACATGCCAACCACATGCCAACCACATGCCAAGCGGTGTGAAATGGCGCCGAAACATGCCAACCACATGCCAACCACATGCCAACCACATGCCAACCACATGCCAACCACATGCCAACCACATGCCAGCCACATGTCAACCACATGCCAACCACATGCCAACCAAATGCCAACCACATGCCAACCACATGCCAACCACATGCCAACCAAATGCCAACCAAATGCCAACCAAATGCCAACCACATGCCAACCACATGCCAACCACATACCAACTACATGCCAACCACATGCCAACCACATGCCAAGCGGTGTGAAATGGCGCCGACCCTCCCACACGTTTATAATTTAATAATGTTAGTAGCAAACATTTTTGTTTTTAAAAAATCACCCACGACGGTAAAATTCAACCCCCCCCCCCCCCCCCCCCCCCCACCCCCCCCTCTATTTTCGATGTCAGCCCTTGAAAAACCACCCTGAACAAATAAGTTAAAGGCCATGGTGTACACTTTATAAACAAAATTGTGAAGACCCAGGAGTGACGTAGTAGATCGAGGTAACAGAGCGTGACTTTAACTTGGTTAATATTGAAATAACATGTTCTTCTTCTTAGTGATCATTTACCTTTCAAACTTCATAGGTTAAATTGGAAATAAACGGCCTGTTTTATAGTGAGGTCTTACCAGTCAAACTTTCATGGGTTAATATTGAAATGAACTGTTTATTTGACAGTTAGATCTTACCATTCAAACGTCACTAGCTGGGCTGCCATTGAAAAGTTTTGGAACAATATTTGATTGATTTTTCACCTTATTGGCGTAAAAAAATCACAGAGAATCGATTGCAACTGCTAGGATAATGGAATTGGTTTTCACATTCGACTGTTGAGGATATCAAAAGCAACGTGAATGAAGTTTCGGTGGCGGCTGCTGTTGAGTGTCGGCGTGTGTTTCAGCTGCGTGTACACACTCACATTCCTTACATCCGTGTAAGTAGGCACTACACATTCCTTACATTTGTATGTAAGTGGGTGTGATGGACGTATGTACAAAGTGTTATCTACTGTGTGATTAATAGAGACGTGACTGGAAATGAAAATTTTAAGTAAGTAAATCTGTTTGTGTGAATCTGTTTGTGTGAATCTGATTGCAGGAATCTGTTTGTGTTGAATCTGTTTTGTATGAATCTGTTTGTGTGAAACTTTTGTGTGAATTTGTTTGTAGGAGTCGGTTTCTGTGAATCCGTTTGCATGAATCTATTTGTATGAATCTGTTTGTGAGAATCTGTTTGTGTGAGTCTGTTTGTATGACTTTGTTAGTGTGAATCTGTTTGCGTGAATCTGTGTGTGTGACTCTGTTATCCAATGCATCGCCACACAAAATAATCTTAACGAGAAACATAGATTTATTACGGTAAATACTATTTTATAAAAAGAATATCCAGTATCCAGCATCCAGTAATCCAGTAATTTTTCATCCCTCTTTAACAACATCCTTATAAAGATCTACCATTGATGAAACGGTGACAATAGAAATGTTTTGATTCTTACAATTGAATGAATTTTTTTTAAATAAGTCAAGCCGTCCCGACCAATCCTAAGTGAACTTTTGAAACGTTCATTTGTATTTGTGTAAGTAACATGAACACGTTCACTAGATACAACAAAAAAAAAAAAAACCCACTGAAATATCAAATGTTAAATAAATATATCAAGAAATATAATCAAATGATCGGCGCGGTAGAGCCACACGAAGGACCAAGGGGAAATGCTTGAAGTCTAACGTCATTGAAAATATATGACGAGCTCGCTGCACTGTCCGGTAGCCAGGCAGGAGGAAAATCACAGTCGGTTTCTGTCCACACTCGCCTTCGGTAGTTAAGGTTGCTGGGAGGTTGAGTGGTCCAAACTGAGCAAATCGGAGTTCAATTCCAGCCAAAAGCCCAGTCAAGCAAAAACTTCACCAGCACCATCGGGTAGATGGGACCCGTTAAACTTGGATGGCAACTCATCTAAGAGAAGGAAACTCTGAATTCAATCCCAGAGATGGATTCCCGTAGGTGGATAACATTGGTACAATGAAACATTCGAACAACTCCTGCGACATCATCCAAATGATGTTCCCTAGGGTTATTTTTATCGGACCCCCCCCCCCCGCCCCATTTCGGTCATAACTAAAACGCGGCGCCCTCTATTAACTTAAATGAAAAATGGTTACAGTTAATGTACTGAGTTGTAGTAGTTTTGGTAATGGATTCCCGTAGGTGGATAACAATGGTACAATGAAACATTCGAACAACTCCTGCGACATCATCCAAATGATGTTCCCTAGGGTTATTTTTATCCGACCCCCCCCCCCCGCCCCATTTCGGTCATAACTAAAACGCGGCGCCCTCTATTAACTTAAATGAAAAATGGTTACAGTTAATGTACTGAGTTGTAGTAGTTTTGGTGTTCGAAAAATAATTACAAGCCATTTTTCACACGTTTCTAGGAGGAAACTAAATTAAATCTAGAGTGTTTGTATGGTTCTACGGGGATTATATTATAGGATCTAAATGCTTATTGAATTGTTAGTTTAGTTCTCTTCATTTATATGCTTTCTTGCTGATTTTCTGTGTCACCGAGTCATCTTGTATACATTTCTTAAAGTGTCTAGATTATTCTAGAAGCTTCGTTTTTTCCCCCCAGAAGTATTTTTAAAATGCCCTAAACATGTTTATTTTGTCTGATTGACTTTCAATGACTGTTCGGGAATGTTCTGGAATAAGAATGAAAGATAATTTTTGACGTTTCTTTGAAAGTTCCAAATTGTTTGTCTCTTATTATTGCCCAGCCTATATGCGTAAATGGAGGCTTAGATTACAGTATACACTTCTACGCATATTGATGTATTGACCTACACTGACCCTTGAGTGACGTCTGCAGATCTCGTAGCGTTTCATTGGTTGCTCGTTCCCGATAACAATCATCGCTGACAACAACATTTCTAGCACAGACAGGTCATTCAAGACTTTTATAGCACAGACAGGTCACCCAAGACTTCTATAGCATAGACAGGTCACCCAAGACTTTTATAGCACAGACAGGTCACCCAAGACTTTTATAGCACAGACAGGTCACTCAAGACTTTTATAGCACATACAGGTCACCTAAGACTTTTATAGCACAGACAGGTCACCCAAGACTTTTATAGCCCAGACAGGTCACTCAAGACTTTTATAGCACAGACAGGTCACTCAAGACTTTTATAGCACAGACAGGTCACTCAAGACTTTTATAGCACAGACAGGTCACCCAAGACTTTTATAGCACAGACAGGTCACTCAAGACTTTTATAGCACAGACAGGTCACTCAAGACTTTTATATCACAGACAGGTCACCCAAGACTTTTATAGCACAGACAGGTCACTCAAGACTTTTATAGCACAGACAGGTCACCCAAGACTTTTATAGCAAAGACAGGTCACTCAAGACTTTTATAGCACAGACAGGTCACCCAAGACTTTTATAGCATAGACAGGTCACCCAAGACTTTTATAGCACAGACAGGTCACTCAAGACTTTTATAGCACAGACAGGTCACTCAAGACTTTTATAGCACAGACAGGTCACTCAAGACTTTTATAGCACAGACAGGTCACCCAAGACTTTTATAGCACAGACAGGTCACCCAAGACTTTTATAGCACAGACAGGTCACCCAAGACTTTTATAGCACAGACAGGTCACCCAAGAATTTTATAGCACAGACTGGTCACCAAAGACTTTTATAGCACAGACTGGTCACCCAAGACTCTCTCATTTAAAGACGATTTCTTTCGAAAGTACAATAAAAGATAGAAAATAGTTTTCTTAAAATTCTGTACACAAAGAAAGTCTGTTCAGAAAATATGTACAACATTAGCGTTTTATTGGTTGCTCGTTCCCGATAACAATCATCGCTGACAACAACATTTCTAGCACAGACAGGTCACTCAAGACTTTTATAGCACAGACAGGTCACCCAAGACTTTTATAGCACAGACAGGTCACCCAAGACTTTTATAGCACAGACAGGTCACTCAAGACTTTTATAGCACAGACAGGTCACTCAAGACTTTTATAGCACAGACAGGTCACCCAAGACTTTTATAGCACTCTGTCCAGTGAGTTCTGAAAATTAGCACAGACAGGTCACTCAAGACTTTTATAGCACAGACAGGTCACCCAAGACTTTTATAGCACAGACAGGTCACTCAAGACTTTTATAGCACAGACAGGTCACCCAAGACTTTTATAGCATAGACAGGTCACCCAAGACTTTTCTAGCACAGACAGGTCACTCAAGACTTTTATAGCACAGAAAGGTCACCCAAGACTTTTATAGCACAGACAGGTCACCCAAGACTCTTATAGCACAAACAGGTCACCCAAGACTTTTATAGCACAGACAGGTCACCCAAGACTTTTATAGCACAGACAGGTCACCCAAGATTTTTATAGCACAGACAGGTCACCCAAGACTTTTATAGCACAGACTGGTCACCCATGACTTTTATAGCACAGACTGGTCACCCAAGACTCTCTCCTTTAAAAACGATTTCTTTTGAAAGTACAATAAAAGATAGAAGATAGTTTTCTAAAATTCTGTACACAAAGAAAGTCTGTTCAGAAAATATGTTCAACATTAGAAAAAATAATATATATTTAAAGTTGCATCTACATTTAATCTGAATCATTTTGCTTCGTAGGGCGTCTTTCTGCCCTTGTTCACATATTTTCTTTAGGAAGTGTCTTTAAAAAAAATTATTTTCTACTTTTTAATGTGCTTAAACTCGTCTTCGAAAGAAAGCCTTTAAAAAGAAATATTTACGAAAAATAATTAGAAAACCCCCTTGAATAATATTAATCTATTATTTTCAGAATACAATATAACAGGAGACTAAAGCTTGGGCCGTTGAATCAGACGTTAAGAGACCTTCATTATGAAGGAGGACCTAAGGTAACTATGACGTTAGGAAGATTAATCAGGCCAGTGGCAGGGCCCAAAAGGTAGGAATGGAAAGTCGGGCACTCAAAGAACGACGTGTGTGCCTTCCCATCAGTAAGGGCTTTGGGATCAATCGTAAAATGGTTTTGTAACACTCTTGTGCTACTTGTAACTGAAATGTAATCAGTGTTACTATTGTGGCTTGATTACGGTCCAATACTTACTAATTATTAATATGATGAACTGCTATGAAAGCTGGAGACAACGCAAAGCATTCATCATCAACATTAAATTTTATTCACATGGACACTGAATATTCACAATATAAAATAGGTCTCCAAAGTGGAATAAAATAATTATCATCACATCATAAACTTCATACACTTTGTAATCCAAAAAGATGAAAGATAGCTGTTCCGATTCCATGTGATCTATTCTTAAATCAATATTCAAATCCATCTATCCTTGTTCAATCTAATCTCTCAACTTCATTTCTCTCCCTCTTTCTGCGCATGACATCCAAAATCATCAACACAATTCGTAAAATAACGAAACAATGTATATTTCTATGCATATGGAGCTGTTGCAGGCTTGAACAAAAACAATTTGAATTTTAAAAGTATGCAAATTTTTTATATAAAATAAAAGTGAGGGGGAAACGTGTACAGGCGACACAGCCACGTTCGGACAACAAAGTCAGCTTCTGGCGACACATCAACCGTCTGGCGACAAATCCACCTTCTGGCGACACATCCACCTTCTGGCAACACATCCATCTTCTGGCGACAAATCCACCTTCTGGCAACACATCCGCCTTCTGGCAACACATCCACCTTCTGGTGACAAATCCACCTTCTGGCAACACATCCACATTCTGGCAACACATCCACCTTCTGGCGACACATCCACCTTCTGGCGACACATCCACCTTCTGGCGACACAGCAATCTTCTTGCGACACATCCACCTTCTGGCGACACATCCACCTTCTGGCGACAATCCGTCTTCTGGCGGCACACTTACCTTCTGGCAACACACCCACCTTCTGGCAACACATTCACCTTCTGGTGACACATCCACCTTCTGGCGACACAGCAATCTTCTGGCGACACATCCGACTTCTGGCGACACATCCACCTTCTGGCGACGCATCCACCTTCTGGCAACAGATCCACCTTCTGGCAACACATTCACCTTCTGGCGACACAGCAAGCTTCTGGCGAAACAGCCACCTTCTGGCGAAACAGCCACCTTCTGGCGACACATCCACCTTCTTGATTGTGGACCTTGATTAGAAATTAAAATATTTAAATTTTCATATGATGGTTTGTTGGTGTGCTCACTCCTAATCCAGATTTGAATTTTGATTATTATTTGGTCTCTATGACTAAAAGGAGTTTATTTTAAGATTTATTATAATTCCGCTGTAACTAATAAATCATGCTGTTGAGGAAATATCAGCCATCTTACTGTAGTATATAATCAGTCATCTAGCTGTAGTATACAATCAGTTATCTAGCTGTAGCATGTAATCAGTCATCTAGCTGTAGTATGTAATCAGTCATCTAGCTGTAGTATGTAATGACTCATCCAGCTGTAGTATATAATCAGTCATCGAACAGTACTATACAATCAGTCATCTAACTGTGGACTATAATAAGTCATCTAATTGTATTTTATAATAAGTCATCTAACTGTAGAATATAAGTCATCTAACTGTGGAATATAATAAGTAACTAACTGTAGAATATAATAAGTCCTCTATTTGTATTTTATAATTAGTCATCTAAATGTAATTTCTAATCAGTCATCTAATGTAGTATATAATCAGTCATCTATCTGTACTATATAATCAGTCATCTAACTGTAGTATATAATAGGTTATCTAACTGTAGTATATAATAGGTCATCTAATAAATGTAGTATAATGTGCTCGAAATTACTGAAGAAATTGTAACCGTGACAAATGATTCAATGCGGACAATAATACGATGTCTTCTATTCCTTTTATTTATCCTCTTGTCCAAGCAATAATTTAACGTTTGTTAAAAGAAGTTTTTTTTTATTGTCCATTTCCAGAGCCCGGCTGTTGTTTCACCAACCGGAAGTTACCTGGAAGACTTTCTGTTGTCTCGAGTCCAGCTAGCAGAGGCCCACAATCTAACTCTCCAAGCTCTTCAAGGGGACGAGCTCTGCCAGGAGGTAGCTGCGAACCCTGCCTCGTTTTGGATTAGTCAGCCCCAACCTGGCAACCACTACAACTCTAGCTTCACTGCTGACGTTGATCATGCCAGGATGACTAAAGCTCTCAAGTACGTGCGACGGGCCAGGTTTGACAATAAAGATATTTGACTATTCCAGAATGAAGTCACGTATTCCTGGTCTGTACACTGGCATGGACGCTGGCCACAAACAAACAGAGACCATCCTCGACGTTGTAGATTTAAAGGAGGGCCCATATGAACAGAACTCAAAACGATGACACTCTCTTGCTTTACCCTTGTAAATAATTTGGCACTTGGAAGCTTCTTTTCCATAAATCCAATGTATTTTACTGATCATTTATTTTGTTACAAATTTGAGCAATACAACTTGTTACAATGATACTCAGAAGTGTGCACGCACGTAATCATTTGAGCATGTCACTGCAACGTCCCCTCATCGAAAAACGAGATAAATGGAAGTTGGTTTGAAGTAATAGAAATAAATTATTGACTACTTCTTTTTGTTTGATGTATTCTTCGGTTTAGGCAAAATTTTGATTTAAATGTTGGTTAATTCGCCTGAGTAACATCATTCAGCGTTTTTCATTGCCGCAGTTGGCTTACAGATGTAAACAAACTTAATTTATTGAATTTTATTTTATTTTTGAATTTTATTTTTGAATTTCTTTAAACAAATTTTATGTGTAATTAAATTTAATTTATGTTAAGCATGCCCAAAGCTATTTTTTTTTTAAACTAAGAGATTTGATCTTTAATGAAATGTATTTTATGATTGAAACCCATTCTAGTTGCCGCGGTCAGTGGTTGCCAGAATACTTGAAGACGCCGCCAGTAGCCGCAATGTTCGACTTTGAGAAGGAATATTTGTCTGATCCGCCATTGATAGATGCAAAGTCAGTGTCGAGCAGCCTCCACTCAACCGCCGTATTGTTGAATACAAGGTACTTAGTGCATCAGTCCTACTGTTAAACACAATGTACTGAGTGCATCAGCCCTACTGTTAAACACAATGTACTGAGTGCATCAGCCCTACTGTTAAACACAAGGTACTGAGTGCAACAGTCCTACTGTTGATCACAATGTACTGAGTGCATCAGTCCTACTGTTAAACACAATGTACTGAGTGCATCAGTCCTACTGTTAAACACAATGTACTGAGTGCATCAGTCCTACTGTTAAACACAATGTACTGACTTCATCAGTCCTAATGTGAAATACATGTTACCCAGTACCTTATTTCAGCCAATATACATGATGCATCCCACCAGGGACTTGAATTGTTGAGATCCTAAGGAGTAGAACACCCCTTAAAAATCTACCTTTGACTTCATTGGCGCGTCCTTAGTGTAGCACTGATCTAGTAGAGCCACCAAGTCTTTTCATTAACTTTAGGTTCCAAAATGTATTGAAAAATGTCACTGATTTCCACCCAATATTTACTCATAACACATACGTTAGTCATTCACGAACATGAAACACACGACACACATGACACACATGACACATAGACACTAAATAGATTCTTTGAACTCGTCTATTCACAAAATGTTAAAGGCTCATCTAGGATTATTTTTATTGCGGATCATTTCAGCAATTATGCATTGAGTTTATTTTAAATTTTAAAATCAATTTTTAACACGCCATTTATCTTTACGAGTTTCTACAAGTGTTTATAATGTGTGTACAGTTCAAAGTTTCATGTTGGAGACACCATCCGTATCAAAGTTGTCATCAAAGATGGTTACGGGCGTCGAAAGACCAAGGGCGGTGACGAGATTAGAGCGTGGATACGAGATCTCGATCACGACAGCAAACTGTCAGCTCACGTGACCGATTTCAGCAATGGGACGTACTTGATCACCTCCATCCTACCCTGGCAGGGACGTCTGAAGTAAGCGGAACATAAAAATTCTTAAGATACGTTTTATTTATTTTAAATAAAAATTATATTATCTACCCAACCAACAAAAAAAAAAAGAAAAGGTTTTTACATAGCCGTCTACTGGTAGCTTTTTCTCACTTGCAACTTCGAGGAATTAAGTTTTCAGATTTATGTTTATGATCACTTTCGGTGAAGTTTCGGTTTCGAAACAGAAAAGTTAACGTTAAAGTTTATTTTCTGTTTCGGCCGAATTTGATTGAGACTTTCGGCCGTCTAACAGAAGTTAGAGGTCACTCACTCTGTTGGCAGGCGATCCGATGTTCATTATTGCTCGACGTCTTGCTTTCATCGTATAATGAATGACTAATCCTCTGTGAACACTGCTCACAGCTGCATGATGCCCTACTTGTCCAAAATTTTCAAACACAAAATTTCAATTGAGCTTAGGCAAAGGTAAATGCGTTTTGTGGGGAAAAAACTACGGGAATGGTAATATTTATATATATATATATATGTTTTTTTTTTCAAAAATAAAATTTGGGAACCTTGACAATTCGTCTATTTGTGACATTCAGTTTGAATAAGAAGGTGAAAAAGATTGTGGGGAAAAAAATCTTTGGGAATTGTAACATTTCCATTATTATTTTTGTTTCGAATTTAAAAAAAATAAATGTAGGGTCCCTTAGGCAAATTCAATTCATTCATTTTTTGAAATTCATCATTATCATGGTAATAAACGTTGCTATTGACAAAATAACACAAGTGTGCATATATTACTGTTTCGTATAATAATTATGAAGTAAACCTACTGCACACCTATTTATTCTTACGATTTTGGCGTACAATGTACTATTTTGAGATTCTTTTACGATTCTACGCCGAGATTTACCAGAACTATGATTTTAAGAGACCGATATAAACACCACCACCACCACCACCACCACCACCTCCACCACCACCAACACCACCACCTCCACCACCACCACCACCTCCCACCCCACCACCACCACCACCCACAAGCGTACAATGTACTATTTTGCGATTCTTTTCCGATTCTACGCCGAGATTTTCCACAACTATGATTTTAAGAGACCGATATAAACACCACCACCACCACCACCACCACCACCTCCACCACCACCAACACCACCACCTCCACCACCACCACCACCTCCACCACCACCACCACCACCACCACCACCACCAATGAGGGTGGAGAAGGTTGGTCGCTGAACGAAATAATGAAGTCCCAGCCCGGAAAGATTATAACGTGTTGTCACTAGGATCAATATTACCACAGCTATATCTAGCGAGCTATTTATGAAAACACAAAATATTAGTCTGCCAATAACTGCGAAACAATTTGGTGGTATTTTGTATAGAAATGTCTGAACTCTTGCAAGGAAGTCTCACACTCTGACAAAATGTCGCCCCGGACAAATCTTTTACGAAGTGAGCCCCCTAACCGACGCACACGTCATTTATATAATGCTATGCCTTAACACCAAAGATGTGACCCGAGGCTGTAGCCCCTTTTTGTAACCCAAAGGGTCGTAACTGCTTGCAGCATATGCAGTGCATGATCTTTTTTATCTCTGTCACAGAGTGTTTGTAGAGCTGGCATATCCAAGAGAATACTTCACCGCCCTGCTGACCAGTCACTTGCTCATCAAAGCCTACCAACAATCCATCGGCGGATTTTTCAATACACAAGTAAAGACTTTTAAAATATAAATGCACTCTAATGGCACTTATCTAAACTCGCACTTACAACATACATTTACTAAACTCGCCTCAAACCTTATTTCTTTAACTCTTAATTGCATTGTAGCTTTATTTGTATGAGAATACACGTAAGGACTTATCATTTGTTAAAGCCTTGCATTCACAAAATGAAATAGTCGCTCATAATAAATTTTGTGACAAAAGAGCCCCCACTCTAAAAAAAAAACCCCCCCCCCCAAAAAAAAAATAGACCCCCCACCGAAAAAAACCCCATAACAAAGCAACAATAAGTCTTTAAAAAAAAAACCCCCCCCCCCCAAAAAAAAAATAGACCCCCCACCGAAAAAAACCCCATAACAAAGCAACAATAAGTCTTTATCTTTTACAATTTAATTATTGTATTTTTTTTTAGCTTGTTTGTTTTTTTTCACCCATAAAATTTCAATGATTCTAAAACAGGCGAGTGAAGGTACGCCATGTTATAACACTCCAGTGCTACCTGGGTATGGACCTAGCCAGATATGCAATGTGACGTCATCTAACGGCGCCCCCTGGTACTGCGGACGACCCGCCAAGCCTGAGTTGAGCTGCAAAGATTATAAATTTACCCGGCTCGTGGATAACCATATGGCGCCACCAATGTTGGAGTCTGAGATGGCAGTTTTGAAAATGAAAGGGTAACTGTCAAGAAATATGAACACGGCTATTAGGTCTGCAGAGTGTAAGAAAAAAAAATTAATGAACAAAATAATAAGTTTGAAGACGTATCAACCAAAAAAGAAAGTAAATAAAGAAGCGTATTGAAAATTTAGTTAGCTTAAGTAATATTTAAATTAATAAGCAGTTTAAAGATGGATAATTAAAACTATTTCACATTAGATTTTGTATCATAATCATTTTGTAGCGCCTTCATTTACTCCGGCCCCCTTACCATGGGAAGTAGGCAATCGATGTTTCTCAATTATGATCAGTCTATAACAGACAGCTAAGTTGTCTTTCCAAGCAACTCCCATTAAATTATATCTCCAAGCGAATCCCATCAAGTAATCTCTCTAAGCACTAACATTAAGGTTATCTCTTCAAGCTGCTTGCATCAAATTATCTCTACAAGCCACTCCCATACCTTGAGACATTATTTATTGGCACTTGATTATTATTATTATTATTATTAGGTGGTTTTATATAGCGCAGTGCCCCAACCTAAGGCTAGGGTCACTGCGCTTCACATAAAAATTAGCAAGTACATTTAAAAACAACAATTTGTGAAAAGCTTGACCTCACTACCTAAGTACTATCTACCCCTGTCTAGCCCTGGACAGCAACCAGCAGAATCGAGCGTTGTTGATCAGTAAAAAAAGGAGGGGATGAGAATGAATCGGTATAGTACAGTTTGAAGAGATGTGTCTTGAGGGCAGTTTTGAAGACTGTGCTGGTCGTTATATTGCGGATGTATAATGGGAGAGAATTCCATTGTTTTGGAGCACAGAAAGATAAAGATCATTATTCACCATATGTTTTAGTGCGTGTTCTGGGAACAGAAACAATACGCGTGTCTGCGGAGGAACGAAGCTTTCAAAAGGGTGATTAAACAGTAAGATATGAAGAGCAGGAACCAGAGAAGAGGTTGTGACAGAGAATGTAATCAAAGCGTGCCTGTATAGTTTGAGATTAAATTTGGTAGTTCTGCTTTACCGTTTTATCCTGATCAACTCAGCGAATGCTTGCGATTTCGGGACAGTAAAAGTTACTCCAAGTCGTACAAAATCCAAAGAGGAATATTATTTCATGCACATAAAAAAATAATATATATGTAGGTGGGTAATTATTAAAGTAAAAGGCCCACCAGGGAAAGATAAACTTGCAGTCAAAATATGAGAGTTTTTTGCGTCTTCTGTTGTTATTTTCAGGTATATCTAGCCACGTCATAAAAAACATAATGCAAATTGAAAGGTTTGATAATTTTAAAATTTTTTTTTCAGTGGGGGTCTTATTGCAAGTAAAAGTAACATGGTCATTGATGTAGCAGAAAGTAAGTCTTACTCCTTGTCATCGACAGTACGTGTATGGTAAGCTTTAGCCTAATAGCAAGTTACACATTTTAAATACATGAGATTTGTCCGTTAGCATTTCTATAAAGATGAACAAGACAATGTGCCATTAGTGTCAAAAGCAGTCAAAACATTGTATGCTGTCACAAAATTGTATGCTGTCACAAAATTGTATGCTGTCACAAAATTGTATGCTGTCGCAAAATTGTATGCTGTCGCAAAAGTGTATGCTGTCGCAATATTGTATGCTGTCACAAAATTAAGGTGTATCATGTAAAAAAAAAAAGTGAAGTTCCATTCTTATCGTTTTTTTTCTCTACTAACCGAGCTAGGAAGAGATCATTCTTTTCTCCGAATTATTTTAATTTTTTTGTCCACAGAAATGACGGATGCTAAAACGAAACTGGTGAGGTTGGCGTCAAATGTTCCGTGCAGTCAAGTCTCAGCACGAGCCACGTGGGAACAAAACGAACCAACGGGGTATTTTTACAAAAGTGAATGGCAGTCCTTGTTGTGTCAGACAAAGCGAGGCTATGACGTGGCCTGTCGACAAAATACCGAGGTTAGAGCAGCGATTTCAAGAAGATAATATATATATTTTTTTTTCAATGCGGAGCCCCGCAGTCAATACTAATTTTTTCTCTCAAAAAAACATGCAATTAATACGAATGAAGCTGTATTATGCTTAACAGCGTAAGTCAGAATGTTCAACATATAAGTGACTTTTTAGTCATTATAGTTCATAGGTACTTAATCTGACATCTTTTCCCTGACAACAAGTACATGTTCTAAGGACCCCATAACCAGGCAAGTGAAGGCTACGGACCCGATACATTTTTTTAAGGCATGGAATGAAATAAAAAAAAAAAATCCAGCCACGCCCCCCCACCCCATCTTTTCACTGGCTACAAGTTCAAACACATTTAATAGACTATTTGAAACTCAGAGGATGATGTCAACTCTTGACAACCCCCCCCCACCACACACACCGAATCATTTAAAATCCAGACCCTAAACCTTTAGCCAGCGTCTTGAGGTCAAACTGACAACCACATTGTTAGCTAATGAGTTAAGAAGCCAATTATATAGCAATACAAAACTAACTGTAAAACATGCTTCAGCGATGAATGAACTGCGGAAAGTATGTATGTCCTAACATTCACATTTCTCACAGATTTTACTAGTTGGCGACTCCAACGCACGTGCACACTACTACACCTTGGCCTCACGCTCCAGGTGCGATCACGTCATCAAGGCAGGCCATGAGAAGTGGCACAAGCCACTAATGTGTGCGATAAGGAAAAACAACTTCACGCTGAAGTGGTTTCCACATTCCCAGCCATTCAGGACTTCCACTGTAAGTGATTTCATCCTTTACATGCTATAATTACTTTAACTTTAAATAATTGTGCACAAAAAAGTTTGGGGGAGAGGTTCTGAAGTAAACATATCTGTTTAGTGTAACAGTAACAAATATTTGTTTTAAAATTTTTACAGAAGAAAACGTAAAAAAATTTACAGACTGCAGGTTTCCTAAAATTTCAAAAATCACGATAAACTAATTTGATGCCAACAAATGGAAAGAGATGTCAAGTGAAGCTTGATACAATTTTAAGGAAGAAATTAGCTTCGTATCCCTAGTGTATTAATACAATGTTGTTTGTCAAAGTGGTGAAATGGTTTTGACAGATGAAATGGGTTCCTGAGATTGTGTAGAGTGGAAGAAACGCGTTTCGGGCCATAAAAAATGCACGGCCAAAGGAAAGTGTTTGGGAAGTGAAAAGGTGGAATGAGACGGTTGTTGTTGTTGTTTGTGTTCAGTCGGGAAATCACCGAGACACAGTATACACATCATTTGGAAGAACCACAGATCGGCCCAGTGCGTTGACATACGGCTCTACTGCTGAACGCCCCTTCAGACCTGTGTCCGCTCTTACAAAAGGGATATGTCCCTGGATGCTGATTTCCCCAGATTGCTTTTCAAGTTTCTTATGTTGACAACTCAATCGACCCAGGAGAGTAAAAAACGCTTAAAGCGCCGCCTCGGCTAGTTATTCTGAATTTAGCTTTGAAAATGCTATAAAATGAGGAAGAAACATAACTTTGTGAAAGTCAACTGTCAGCTTCTTAAATATCCGAGGCCCCATTAGATCCACAGGGGTTGCAGGGCCCACGCAACGGCCCTGTTTACACCTCTAATGGATGGAAAACATACAATCAAAAATATTAGAAACATACTTTTAGTTTCATAATATTACAGAACTTTGCCTGGAAGACATGGTCAGCTTATGTAGTGTTCATCCAGTGCTAGATTAACGCATGGCTTAGTGAGAAAAGTTATTCCGGAACTGTGTTCATCTACCCGTCAATAAAAGCTATATGTCTTTATCAAACTGTTTTCACCTGCAGGCGGAGTGGGTTGACCCTCTGCACGACTTGATCCCTTCCAGCCTGGCCATAGACAACATTCCATCCACTGGACGGCACATCGTCATCTTAGGCCACTACCTCCACTTCGTTGGTTTACACCTGAGCGCCTACGCCGAGCAGATGGTCGCCATCAGAGACGCGCTGTCCAGGGCGTTTAAGAGGAATCCTAATGTGGTAGCCATTATACTGGTGGGTCAATGTTGAACATTTTCCCCTTGAGACGTTGCGATAGGGGGTGGTGGGGTGTTGGCATTGCGCAACTAATAATATGGACAAAAAAAGCTTTCATCGTCGCTCTGTATTATCATATTATTATGATTGTATTAAATGTTTCCTTTAAAAAACAACAACAACAAACTAATATATCTTGAAATGCTAAAGCTAAATTGCTGAAACTTTATTAGAATAAGGGATTCAAGTCTAATAAAACTTTTTTTTTTTGAACAATTTTTTATTATTTTATTTTGAAAATTACGTGAGGATTGAATGGACGACATTCGAAATATTCTCACGACGCACTAACTTAAAGAGCTAACTTATCCATTTGTTATATTGAAATATTTAAAGGTGATGTCCTCACCATGGTTAAAAGTTACCAATTGTCCTTTTTATCGTAACCTCCTTAAAAATTTTAACTAAAGTTTTTACGACACAAATATATCAATGATCCTTCAGAATTTGAGAGATGACAATGTTACTAGCGATAAACTTGCCAGCAAAATTAACTTAAATATTGACATAGAAATACAATTTAGTTAGGCTCTTGACCTTTGTACGTGTTTTTGAATTGGTCATCAATGTCCATAATAATAAATCTAATAATTATGATAATAATTAAAAAATAAAATAAATACTATATACCAGTTTGCTTATCAGTAGCCATAAAAGTAATTCCGCTTACATTTTCCCAGGGTCCACACGTTCTCATCAAAGACTCCAGCTACAGGCTGGGAGACAGCCTCAGAGGTTTCATCATCACCATACAGAGGACCATGTTCAAGGACTTGAGAGACCAGGTGTTCTACTTCCCCGTGTCAGACCTGTCCATAGCTGTGATAAACAGGGAGATACATCCGGCGTTTGAGACCAGAAAACAAATCAACAGATACTTGGTTGGACTTGTGTGTGATAGGCTCGCAACTAAAAAATATTGACGTGTGTGTGACAAGCTAGCTGATTAACAATATTGACTGTGTGTGACAAGCTGGGTGATTAACAATATTGACGTGTGTGACAGGCTAGCTGATTAACAATATTGACGTGTGTGTGACAGGATGGCTGATTAACAATATTGACGTGTGTGTGACAGGCTGGCTGATTAACAATATTGACGTGTGTGTGACAAGCTGGCTGATTAACAATGTTGACGTGTGTTTGTAAGTCTAGCTAATTAAATATTTTAAAGTGTGTGACAGTCCAGCTGATTAAATATATTGACGTATGTGACAGTATAGCTGATTAACAATATTGACGTGTGGTAGGATGGGGGTAAACAGATGAAGAATTGTGTGTGGAAGATTGAAATTTTGCCAATGTTGAGTTAAGTCTGTAAGACTGAGTGCAATATTTTATTGTGTGATAAGTGGTAAGACTGAGTACAATATATTAGTGTGTGATAAGTGGTAAGACTGGGTACAATATATTATTGTGTGATAAGTGGTAAGACTGAGTACAATATATTATGTGTGATAAGTGGTAAGACTGAGTACAATATATTATTGTGTGATAAGTGGTAAGACTGGGTACAATATATTATGGTGTGATAAGTGGTAAGACTGAGAACAATATAATATGGTGTGATAAGTGGTAAGACTGAGTACAATATATTATTGTGTGATTAGTGATAAGACTGAGTACAATATATTATGTTTGGTAAGTGGTAAGACTGAGTACAATATATTATTGTGTGATAAGTGGTAAGACTGAGTACAATATATTATTGTGTGATAAGTGGTAAGACTGACATGTTTTCAGTACTTTTAAAGAACATGCTGTCAATTAAATGGAGTTTATAAAAATATTTTTTTCATTTATTTAAGTGTAGGTAAATAAGCATATGAATATAGTAATTAGTTTACCAAGGGATATCGACGAGTCGACTATTAAATGAAAGAAACATTTGCCGACAGGACCGGAACACTATATAAGGTCAGAGACCTCAGTTAAGAAATAAACAAATGTATAGGTTGAATTATTGTCAAATAAATTTATCATGCGTCACTACTAATTGATATGCACCCGCATACTCTCTACGCCCCTGAGCAATCTTAATATCCTAATGCTCCACCTGCTTTGACACCGCAGATATGTTACACCAACTGTTTATTTAAATCAAAAGAAAACATGACTCACCAAACGCACTTGAAATATTTTTACGAATATTCATTCGAGCCGTTATCGGGAATTTTATTTCGTTAAATCAGTGGCAGTTGGTTGCGTTAAAACTGATTTTTGGGGGGATGGTAAGTGGTGCTGAAAATTTGAGAACATGTGTTGTCATGGGCTATGAGTGTATGTGTCAGAGCCTCAGCTCGAAAGGATGACGGGAAGTGGGTCATTTAGCCGTCCGGATATTTCGCCTCAAGCTAACACACGAAGAAAAGCGAATTTAGTTAGTATTAAGGATTTTAAAAAAAAATAGATTTAGTCTTTCTTCATCTTCAAGGCTTTTAATAAATTAACAAACCTTCAGCAACCGAAGAGAGACACGGTACTTCACAAACAATGTACCAAATTCACCACTCTTAACCTGAAGTCTCAATTATTTTTACACCACAACTACGAATAGACCGCCTAGTCTATTTTATCCATTAAAATGTTGAATGCATGTATTGATTTGCTGTTCGAGGATGCACGAAACACGTCTGCAGATGGAACTTTTGTTTTCTGTCGTGGAAAATAAAATACCGAAACAGAGTGTTATTCTCAAATTTGAAGTTCCGTCACAGCATTGTGTTAGATTTGTGTCTGATAGATCTTTCATTCACAACGATCAACTTTTTGTGTCTGATAGATCTTTCATTCACAACTATCAAATTTTGTGTCTGATAGATCTTTCATTCACAACGATCAACTTTTTGTGTCTGATAGATATTTCATTCACAACTATCAAATTTTGTGTCTGATAGATCTTTCATTCACAACGATCAACTTTTTGTGTCTGATAGATATTTCATTCACAACGGTCAAATGTCAAATATCAGCACCCCCCCCCCCTCCCATTTTAACTGAGCAGCTTGAAAACTTGTTTTTTGTACGTGCATAGTTGTTTGACTTCTTTTTTAATGTCATAGAATTTCAATTTCTCTGTAAAACATTTCAACGTCCCTCCGTTTATGTCTTCATTGTCAAATTCAACATTTAGAATGTCTATTTTATATGATTTTTGTCAATATATATATATGTGTTAAGAATAAAAATAATGGGTGTGTTCTATGCTTTGTTAAGTTACATCATTGTTAGGAGTTACAGCATTCTTAGCAGTTATAGCCCTCTAGCAGCTATTGCACTGTAGCAGTTATAGCACTGTAGCAGTTATAACACTAGCAGTTACAGCACTGCTAGCATTTATACCACTGTTAGCACTTAAAGCACTGTAACAGTTACAGCACTGCTAGCATTTATACCACTGTTAGCACTTAAAGCACTGTAACAGTTACAGCACTGCTAGCATTTATACCACTGTTAGCACTTAAAGCACTGTAACAGTTACAGCACTGCTAGCATTTATACCACTGTTAGCACTTAAAGCACTGTAACAGTTATAGCACTGCTAGCATTTATACCACTGTTAGCACTTAAAGCACTGTAACAGTTATAGCACTGTTAGCATTTATAGCATTGAATTGTTTTCTTACAGTTCCATGAAAACGACAACATTTCAAGATCTATAACTACACATTTTGACGTCCCAGTTCAGTACGCTCTTAGTCGTCGGGCCTTCGTACACAAAGATGTCCCTTAATAATATACTTTAAGTCATGTTTGTACCAATATACATGTTGTGAACTAGTTTGTTGTGAATGTTGGGTAGGGGGAGTCGTGAATCGTGAGAGTGTTTAGTGAGTTGTTGATCGTGAGGTCAGAGCGTGACGTTAGTCCGTGGTGTTGCACATTTGCGTAGGCTGAGTTGTTGGTGTGGTATTATAAAAGGGATGTGTGTTAGCTAGAGGTCAGAGTCAGCGAAGAGAGACAGAGAGTCAGAGAAGGACGGTAGCAGAGCAAGAGAATTGTTAGTCGTCAGAGTTGTCAGTTAAGAGTTAGTCAGTAGCGATAGGAGCGAGTGGATTATTGGTAGTTAGACTGATGTGTATCCTGTTTTGTAAAGAATCTATTAAATATTATATATATTGTTACACTGGACCTTGTGTTCTATGTGAGAGGAAGTATCAAACTAACGTCGTAGCATTTCAAGTGTAACAAAGGTCGTAACAATACATTAAGACGTTTTGAACAGTACAGAAAATTTGAGGCCATTATGTTATTGTAGGTGCTTCGCGCGTGAAGATGACCAAGGCAATATTCAACTTGACTTGAGCAGTAGCCTTGACTTGAGCAGTAGCCTTGACTTGAGCAGCAGCCTTGACTTGAGCAGTAGCCTTGACTTGAGCAGTAGCCTTGACTTGAGCAGTAGCCTTGACTTGAGCAGTAGCCTTGACTGGAGCAGTAGCCTTGACTTGAGTATTAGCCTTGACTTGAGTAGTAGCCTTGATTTGAACTCTATTTTGCTCAAAGAAAGGGAGAGTTGCTCATTTCGCCATCCCCACTCAGCCCATTGATCCAATGGCAAGACATAGTCTTATTTTTCTTCGCTATGACTAGAGACCGAAACCCGACCGGAAGTTAAAAATGACTTTCGGCTGAAACCGAAGCCGAACCCAAAAGCTTAACGAGACTTTCGACCGAAACCTAAACGGAAAGATTTAGATATTTCGAAACGCATTTACGCATCCGTCTTGTCGGTTGACAGCCGAGTCTATGTGACACTTGACCTCATCGAAAAATGTTGGGGGAAGTATCGATATTATTATTATTTTTTATAAAAAAATTAGTTTAGAGTGACTTTAAATAGGTAAACATTAATAGAATACTTTGGCTTTTACTATTAGGATTAAATAGTAATTTAAAGCTCTTAAAAATGTATTAAATTATTATGGTAAGATATTGTTTTAACAGGTGGGGAGGGGGGCGTCCTTTGCTTTTATAATATAATTATAACGCATTCTAGACATATTTAGTATATATAAAAATCTTATCCCAGGTATTTTGTATTGGAATGGCCCACTAAAAATATGCAGACATAAGACTTGAAAGAACTACTTGTTCTTTTAAACCATACACTTTCGTTTTTATACGCACTACCTTCTATAGTGAAAAGTTAATCTCTGATTTTAAGTTATGGCTCGTTCTAAACAGTGCATAACAAAGTTCGATACCATATGGTAAAAACAACAGTAAAAATGCGACACTCAAAACAGTACTAATTACATGTAATAAGATTTATTTAAGTATTAATATAATTACCAAAAAAAAAAAAAGAAATATAATTACAATCAATGTTCCCTCTAAGGTTTGCTGCTTCGTGTGCAAACTCATACAGTTATGTGCAAACTCATACAGTTATGTGCAAACTCATACAGTTATGTGCAAACTCATACAGTTATGTGCAAACTCATACAGTTATGTGCAAACTCATACAGTTATGTGCAAACTCATACAGTTATGTGCAAAATTTTACAGCATCAATTTTTTTTTGTGCAAAATTTTGCAGCCCAAAAACACAAATACACATTTACATGGAAATTTGCTGCGCGGATACTCAAAACTGCTGCGCGGATACTCAAAACTGCTGCGCGGATACTCAAAACTGCTTCGCGGCGTCTTTGATATAACTACCACAAGCTGTAAAAGGGGGGGGGAGTCATATGGCCATACCGAACTGCTGTAGAATTAAAATCGTACAAGGGATAGATTTGCTTTGGAAGTAGATTTCAAATGCCACTAACTAGATTTTATACAATATTTCGAAATCCAGCTATCCTGTGCAGAACAGTTTAAAAATAAAACAAAATTTAAATATCCCCGGTTTTCTCCGTTTTCACAATCAACGCGTTTCAGACAAACAATATAGGCAAAATTAAACCACAAAATAGGCCAAAGTATGTCACAAAATAGGCCAAATTATGTCATAAAATAGGCCAAATTACTTTTACCTGTGACAACATTTATGAGCAAGACAACGGAAAATTTTAAAAAAAAACAACATTATGTCACCAATGAATGATTTCCCAAACGTATGTTTCCAAATTTTATTGTTGAAAAATATAAATATTACCATTCTAAACTGAGTCAATCATAAGCCTTACACATTATAAGAACGCAGACAACGGGGCGCAATTTGATGCAGTGAACGTGTCCATCTCGGATAATCAACGTTGCTATCCCTATAAAAAAAAAAAAAAAAAAAAAAAAACCCAGCTATTATTGACTTCTATGTTTTCGTGAATTATTGTGACTGTTCAAAACTGTCGATTTATTGACAGTTTCCGATACCTAAAACCCACCAGGTGATGTCGTTCAGACGTGACGACAACAATACCGCGCCTCCTTTATCTACCCCCCACCTCCCCCCCTCCCCCGTCGACAGCATGGTGAAACACCTGTCAGCCTTTCAGTAAGGCTCGGACTGCCATGAAACGTGCTGTCTTCATTGAACACTTGGACCTGTGAGGACAAAGCGGACGTTGGGCTGTGGCGCGGGTCTTCACGTTTTTGCAACACCTAAAGCCCGTTTCGATTTCAAAATATTTCCCGCCCCGCCCGCCCCCACTGCCTCCCACCAGATGCAAGGTTATTGAAAGGTTGTTGCAAGGTTGTTGCAAGGTTGTTGCAAGGTTGTTGCTAGGTTATGCTGGTGAAGCGTTTCATTAAAATGCTATGGATATAATTTAACTGCGTACGACAGGGGCGTTAAAATACATATATTTCTGCTTCTTTCAAGTTATTTTTTGTACATGTAATCAAAATTTAGCATATGTGACGAATACACATAACATTTGATCTAGTCAAAGAGAAAGTCACCTGCTATTTAATATACATACATATATATATATATAT